CCTTTCTTTCTCACGTACTTCGTGACTGTGAGCTGAGCAGATCTATAAATCGATCAATCAGTCGATCATTCTCCGTTGGGTTTTGAATTGGCGACTCATTCATTAATGGATAGAGAATCGCGAATAACGAGAAGAAGACCGAGCCGAGTATACGCTTGGAACAGCCTTGTAGGGGGAAATGGACGAGGGAATACATTCATATGTATATAGATGGATAGATGGATAGATAGGTACACACGACGGAACAAGAGACGAGACGAGACAAGAGGTGGAAATGTCATATGCAACCATCCAACACCTATCGTTGCCAGGAGTCCGGTAGACCTAGTGGCCGCCTTTGTTCGGGAATCAGACGACACCGGCCTACCTAGTATACTAGCAGATTCCGGACCGATTTGATTCTCATTGTTGTGACCCTTCTTCCCGTACAGCGTACAGCGTATAGCGTATAGCGTACTCTCCTCCTCTTTCACGACTTTTCTCCTGCTAGAGAACCAACGGTTGCATGAAACCCAACCAAACGAGAACGAAAACCCGAACGCTCCAAAGAACAGACAAACTGAGCAGCAGCAGCAGCGCCGATTTAAAACACCAAAAACTTCGTTACATCACGACGTGGATGGATACCCCATGTCCTTCATCCCTTGGTACCACATCTCCTTGAACCGGCCATGGGCTGTCCTGTGCGACTTGTCCGTCGTGGCGCGGATGTAGTAGCTCAGCATCACGTTGCACCTCAACTCGTTGGTTTCGTAGAAGTTGACCACCCAGCCCTTGCCGTCGCTCGCGTCCAACGCTTTGACGTCGCGTGGCTCGGCGATCCGGATGGTGAACCGACCGTAGATGGTCACGCCTGAGCCTGGGTTGGTGAGCGCCTCCATGCCGTCCTTGGTGCGTCGGATCGCGCTGTAATATGTCAGGTCTGTGCTGTAGCCCGGAATCACGTTGAGCTTGTCCGTGATGGCGTAATGCTGGAAGTCCTCGGCCGCATAGTCGGCGTTGAGGTCGACCTTGAAATCCTTGCACATTGCCTTGTGGTCGACGGCTTTTGGGTCCGAGGCGGGAATGTTGACCACCTTGTTGACAAGCGGATTCAGCTGGGCCATCAGGATCGGATCCGTGCACATCTTGAGCGCCAGTTCGTAGCCGGCGTCCAGTACATCTTGTGGAGACTTTCCCTCTGGCGGAGCGGGCAGGACCAGATCGGTAATCCAGCCAGACTTGAAGGATGTTTGCATGAAAGCCATGATTCGATCAACGATTCAATAGTTAACTGCACGGATCTGTATGGTAGTCTGTAGAATGCCCGCAGGACAGAACTCTGTATGCAGTGAGGTAATAATATAGCCGTCCCCAATGCAAGTCTGGACCGAGCGGCGGAGCCCGAACGGCCGCGAACAAATCAGGCGAGATCGAAGGCCACCAGGTTTTTCCGCCGGGTTACCTGTACAATCATCGGTCGCCCTCGGAGGCTGCGGGTATTAGTACGACACAAGTAGACGAAGACCAAGGATAAACTGCGATGAGAACTGCTGAACACGAGCGTCGTCGTCGTGCGGGATTTCAGTCAAGTTGAGGTGATGAAGTAACAGTAAGCGTCGGAGGACCGATGAAAAGTAGTGGCAGCCCCCAAAGAAATCATCGACCACAGATCGACCAACCGACTTCGGCCCCTCGAGGATGAATACGAGTCTGAGAGAGAGTAGTTGACTAGGCCTCGTTGAGACAAAGGGACATGGTATAGGTAGGCAAGCGGAAGAAGGCAGGAGGATGCCGTAAGTGATGTTCCGTACCTAGTTCATTATCAGCATGATTACCACCATGAATACCACCAGCTGGTGCCAAACTTCTGGAAGCAGTTTACGGCTGTCAAGCTGGTGTGGGTTGTGGGCTTTGGGCTTTGGGCTTTCAGCCGCAGATGGAGCCGCGGAGACTTGGAAGCAGAACCGAAGTGCTTATGTCTCTTTATTATCTCGGCTCGTCGTTGGTTAGGCCAAGCAAAGTTAGCATTGGGGGGCGTAAAAGTGAGATGGGAGTGGGATGGAAAAGTGAGGTTGTGAGACGAACGACAACCTGCGAGATTCACCACCACAGCGCAGCGCAGCGCAGTCTCGGCCATCTTCCTTCATCCTTCTCTCTATCACCACTTCGTCTTTGTCTTCGAATCTACTTCCTTCACTTTTCCTCTCGTGCTGCCTCCCCTTCACGAGGCTATTACATATTGATGTGTACTAACATTTCTCTACTTCACTGCTATTGCTGCTACGGCCAACGGTCAGTCACCCAACTGCGTACCGCAGCTATCGGTGCCTTACAACGCCAAACAATGACTTCTTTGACTGCCTTCCACAAGGCTTTCCCCCGCAAACCAACATGGCAGATGGCTCTTCAGTTTCCTCTTTCACTCGATAGTCGCGTCTTTGTTTGTTTGTTTGTTTGCTTGCTTGCATTTTGCTGTCGAGACACAGCTGCCTCTCCTACACTGCCCTAGTTGCGCGCCCCTGGGTTGGTCCTCCGACTATTTATGTCTCAAGAACGCGCACCACCAGCATGGGAGGGCATACCATTGCATCATCGTTGGCAAGTCATCAAAGTCAGCACAAGACTCAAATCGACATTGACTCTGCCAACTTGGCCGTCGGCGCAAAATGCCTCCAACAAACAAAACCGAGAAACTTCCTTTGACATTCGGCATTGAGATTGAACACGTCTTTGGTATCAACAAAGATGCCGTCGAGACGAACCCCGCCTTCACATGGATGTTTCCACAGTACTGTACCATTCGCCCAGACTCTCCCAATCCCCCGGATTTCGATCCAACGTCGAACAAGTATGGTAGCTTTCTGCAAGCGGTCAACATTCTACGAAGCAGGGGCGCGAAGCTCAGAGTTGAGCTCGAGCCAGGAATGGAGGATGCAACCTTCGAGGGGTTTTCTCAATGGACCATGGGGCAAGACAGATCGGTGAGATTGCCCAGCGACGTCGACGAGCTTCGCAAGTGGTCCGGGGGGGCGGTCAAGACCTGGAGGGGTTGGGTATTCGCAGGGTTGGAGCTCATTTCTCCTGCCCTCAAGGTTCCTGAGTACGACTCCAATGGCAGCTTTCAACCCAATGGGCTCACTGACGTCTCAACTTACCTCAAACTCCTGACGGAAACCCGACCCGAGGGTACACCTTACTTCTTCTTGTCTGACCCAGAAGCTGCCGGGATTCACGTCCATATAGGTCTGCAACCTCAGCCTGAGGGTCAGATGGGCATCCCCTTGAACGTTCTGCGCCACCTCGCCTTCATCTGCCTCGCTTTTGAGGATACCATAACATTACTCCACCACCCTCAACGCCATGCAAATAGTCAGACTTATTCGCATGACTATATCGGTAGCAACCGCTTCTTGGGAAGGCTTTCCGATACATTTCCTAGGCATACATGCACGAAGGGACCCGTGTTCTCGCCTGAAGATGCGTTCCTTCGGATTTTCCGAGCCACTGAAAATGAAGAACTGGTCGAGCTACTAACAACGATACCCTCCAGAAACCCCGGGCACTACCGGTACATGGTTCGCGAATGCTTTGTCAACTTCTGCAATTGCTTCGATTTCGGCCACGCGGACGAGAAGCGGACTGTCGAGTTCCGACAGCACCATGGTACGCTCGAATTTGAAGACATTTCCCACTGGGTGTTTTTGGTCAGCAGCCTGGCACGAGCAGCTGAGCGAAAGGCGAACGAGGTATCTCCAGCTGATGGCACTTGGCCACCGTCGTTTGCGCACAAGATTCTCTCTGCGAGTTCGGGTACGGTAGCCCAGCCGCGGAGAACTGGAGTTTTGGATACTCCTACTAATGCACTTTGGCAGGATACTATGTCGAACCCCGATACTCGGGCTGCTGTCCTTCGGGAGGCTTCCAAGTACGAGAGTTTGTTCCAAATCGATAAGAAGAGATCGCTCAAGGAGCTCTTTGATCTGCTAGAGCTACCTATTGCGCCTCGTAGGTACTGGTACCAGCGAGCCAAGAAATTCCAAGCTGAATGGTACGTGGGCTGGCAAGGCACAGGGACATGCTTGGGTGACTACTGCCCACGTGAAGCCGTGAGGGACAACGAGGGTTGGGCCTCTGGTGAATTGGCTGTTCCACCCTGGGATGTTGCTGACCCCCATCCTTCTGGTGCCTCATCTGCTCCAGCTGTCAGATCTGCTGATCAACCCACAGATGTTGAGATGTCCTATGGGATCCCTCTCGTATCGACTGTTGCCCCTACCGCAGAAGCCCCATTCGCACCGCACGCTTCTCACCCGAATATCATGACCATCTCGAACGTCACGAACTACCCAGCACCCCCCATGAATAACCTTCTACCTCCCCTGAACTACCCTCTTCCCCCCCTGAACAATCCTCCTCTCCCCCCCTTGAACAACCCTCTTCCCCCTATGAACTATTCGGCACTTCCCCCTTTGAACTATCCGGCACTTCCCTTGAACCACCCTGCCCCTCCCATGAACAACCCCCTACCCCCACTGAACAATCCAGTATTCCCAATGAACCCCCCTCCCAACCTCCTGAACATCCCTCCATTTCCCATGGACTTCCCTCCACTTACCTTGGTCTGGCGTGAAGAGCCCTTGCACCCCCCTCCAGGTCCCATGGGCTACCCTGAACCTCCCAGCGAGGACCCCGAACTCCCTTAAGGATGTGCGACATGACGCGCCTCAGGGGCAAAAGGTAGATCGACGTGACAAAACGATGAGTCTGCTGACATAGAATACGCGGGTTGGGCGTGGGAAGGAGAATTTAGGCACGACGAAGAAGAGCTTAACGAGGTGTGTGGCCTGGCTCGGCTGGATATCTGATCAAAATCGACAAAGTAGGTCTAAGGTAGATTAAGATAGGTTAACACGGATTGTTTTGAATTAGCGCTTTGAGGGCAGACATTTCGAGTCAAGTAAGTAAATCAATTCTGCATCTGCTGGCCATTCCCCACGTAGAAGAGAATACGGTTGAGATCACCATGAATCAAAGTTTCCAAACCCGCCGCCTCGGCCTCCGCCTTTTGTCTTTTTCCGCACGGGCTGCTCGGGCTCCTCGTCAATGACCTCGACAATCTCGTCCTCGTCATTGTCCTGGCCGTGCCTGGACAGTGACGCCTTGAGGTATTTCCCGACCTGACCGGGCCCGCCGCCGGAATCCACGGTGCCGTCGTCACGTATCCTCTTGCCCGTCCACGTGGTGCGGTCCTCGTCTACGGCGAGACTCCCCTGGTCCGCCGTTACGGCGGCGTTTTTCCGGTCCGACTTCTCCTTCTCGGTCCGCTCGGCCTGGTTCTTCTGCTTCCAGAACTCGTCAAACGGATCGATCAGCACCGTGGCCTCGACGATCTTGATCTCCTCGGTGGGTCGGTCGGTGCTGTCCACGGGGGCGTTTTCCAGCCGCTTGAGCGTCTCCATTGAATCACCTCCGTCGTCAGCGTCCTCGGCGACGCGTCCAAAGATGGTGTGTTTGTGGTCCAGGTGGCTGGCCGGGCGGTAGGTGATGAAGAACTGCGAACTGTTGGTGTTCTTACCCTTGTTCGCCATGCTCAGCACGCCTCGCTTGTCGTGCTTGAGCGGGCCTTCGAGTTCGTCATTGAAATTTTTGCCCCATATGCTGGTTCCGCCCCTGCCCGTCCCCGTTGGATCTCCCGACTGGATCATGAAGTTGCGGATGTTGCGGTGGAAAATGATGCCATCGTAGTATCCCTTTTGCGCCAGCTTGACAAAGTTCCACACCGCTTTCGGCGCATATTCGGGGTTGAGTTCTAATGTCAGGGGCCCGAGGGTGGTGGTTAACCGGACGTAGCCTTTGTGTTTGACGCGTCGGGGTTTGAGTATATATTCTTCGTCTGTCATTGTTGCGAGCGCGTTTGACGTGTGCGGCGTGAGGCCGGTGGAGGTGAAAGACGCGGCGGCCTGGCCGGTTGTGTGCCGGGTTGCATTGTAAGGTATTGTTTTGGACGACTGGGATGTTGAGCTGGTTTTCTTGACCGAGTTGGTCGACGTTGCCGCCGATAAGGATTTACTGTTTTGTCCGGCAGCATTTGCTCGCTCGGCTCTGGCTTTCGCAACCGCTTCTTTAGCTTTCATGATCTTGAGATCCGCAGCACTACCCAAGCTCGCGGTATTAATCGACGCTTCCTCTTTGGGAATTCCCGAATCTTCGCCATCTTTCAGGTACTTGAACGAGGTGAGGTTGCGTGACTCCAGGTTTTGCGGGTCTTGCAGGGTAATCAGATCTTTCCTGGTGAACTCTTCGTCCGAGACCAAATCGCGCCACATCTTGGGTTTTATATTCAGCCGCTCGACCGTGTCATACGCGAAGACATTGGCCGATTCTCCGTGGCGCACCGCGACGATGTGCGTGTTGTCCGTGAAGACCTTGAACGTGACGGGGTCGACATACTCGTCGCTGTCGTTCTTTGCAAAGTTCAGTTTTATGAGATCTTGCTGCTTCAAGGGCTTTCCATTCGTCGGATTCGTGTCGTGTTTCAGCAGCCACCGCAGGATGTTCTCATGGTCGAATATGATGCCTTCGGCGGTGCAGACAGGCGTGGTGAAGGGCTGCAGACTCAGCGCGCAGAAGTTGTAGGGTAGTCGTTTAAAGGCGGCGTGTTGGGAGGTGTCAGCGCGCACGCCAGCGCCGGCGCTGGCTGAGTAGGCATCGGACGAGGCCCATTCAGAGTGAGTTATCTAGTGAGAGGGTTTGTTAGTCGTGGACAACTAAAAGCACCGTGGAAATGCAGAGGGTCGCGCTCATACGTAGAGTTTGTCAGTTCCTGGAGAAGCTCGTCAGCAGCCTGAGTCGAGCAAGAGGAGGCGATCTAACCTTTCCCCATGTTCTGTCTTCTGTCTCATAAACAATCGCAAGGTTAGAGCGGAGTTGTTGGAAAGCTGTACATTTTTGGAATTTGGCGGAGTCGAGGCTGCGCTGCGGAGAAATAAAAATGTCGTCGCTTTCCAACCACGAAACCTTGAAATCGCATGACATCAGCTGTGCCTATTGGCCCACGGCCGCGCCCTCTTGTAAGCTTTGGGAACAGAGTCAAGGGATCGTTCAACACAATTATCTTTATTCTAGTCTATCATGCTTTTGTCTAGATCTATCGTCTCCACCTCGACTGCAAAGATCTTGCAGTCGTATAAAAGGGCACTATCTCGGGATACCCAGGTATCTGAGATAGTCCGCTGGCCCAGGAGTCTTCCAGATGTCCTTTTCAGCTTCAATGGCCACCCACACAAGTCCCAGCATCGCCGCAGAGTTCGCACCCGCTCCTCTCTCAAGGCCACTGTGCCGACGAGGAATCAGGCACATCCACTCTCTCACCAGGATCACATTGTAATCGGTGCCCCCACCGGCTTCTGCGTGGCTGTGACGAACTCTTGCGACAAGTTTTCCGTAGGCTTGGACAAGGGTATTTGCATCACAGTGCGTTGGCAACCGAAGAACAAAGTGTCTGTGAGGCACGGTAGGGATATCATCCGTGATGTTAACTGTCGACTCAGCCACGTTTGGAAAGAGCTGGAAGCCCAACTCTTGCTCATCGGGATACGGCCAAAATTGTAGATGCTTATGCCCCTGACTAGACCCAGACTCGAAGCCACAGTTGTATATCATCATATACCGCTGCTTGAAGTGTTGCAAGATTGCCCAGGCGGCCGACAAGTCGCTGAAATCAAGGTCATCGGACTGAGGGGCAAAATGCCTCGTAATGACCAGCAGACTCGGTCTGTAAACACTGAATTTGTTCAAGATCAGAAGATGCGATGGCCCGACCTCAGAAAGGATCTCTTCCGGCTTGGGATTGAGAAAGGGATTGTGGCCCTTTCCTGTCTTGCGTTCAGGCGCATCTGATGGCGTGATCGGCTTGCGGCGCAGGTGTGGCACAAATCGAAAACTGAGCTGCGGTCGTCAGATTACCAGCAGCTTTTGGAGAGGAAGTCCTCGCATGACTTGCTGGTTTCTGTTTTGTTGTCCAGTCGAGGCCGTGCGATGTCACCGACTTACTTTGAACCCCTGGTCTTCCACGGTCTCGGCCGTCGAAGGCTCATAGATCAGGTGTCCTTTGGCCACTTGATCGTCGAATTTGGCAAGTGATTGTGCTTCAAGGTCTTGTGGGAGTTCTGAGGAAGTTGATAGCCCAGTGTCCCCTCCATTTTCTTTATGGCTGTCTTTGTCCATTCTTGGGTGTTCTTTCTGTTTGGTTTATACAGAGAAATAATGTTTCATCTCAATTGGACTTGATACATTAAGACGCCAAGAATGCTTTGCCGTATAAAAGTGACTATTCCCAATGTGGGCAAGTCCTGGAGCTTCCCTGCAGGTCATTCGAGGCCATTTTATTTTTTTGGTCTGCGTCCGCATTGAGTCTGCCACTTTGCTCCCTGCACTTGTACCACCTTTCCATCTTTGCGCGCTGCAGGTTTGGGATTTCTCTTCCTTCGTTCTTCCATTCTTCTATTCTCCGGCGTCGCGATGGCCTTCTCTCGCTCGGTCGTTTCACTCCTGCGCACTTCCCGATACATTGCATCCCCCGCTCGAGGTGTCAACCCTGTCAACAGAGTCTTTGGCCATGATAGATTTGCCGCCAGAGCATATGCCACAGTCTTCGAGCGGACCAAGCCCCATGTGAATGTCGGTAAGTAGCAAGTGCTTGCCCTGCGTTCCGGTGTGGTATCTCACAGTTTTCTCAGGTACGATCGGTCACGTCGATCATGGAAAGGTAAACCTCCCTGCCCACAACTATCGAATTCATCGGCTTATCATCGCTCCAGACTACTCTCACAGCGGCTATCACAAAAAGACAGGCGGACAAAGGCCTAGCACAGTTTCTTGACTATGGCAAGATTGACAAAGCTCCGGAAGAGCGAAAACGTGGTATCACCATCGCAACTGCGCACATCGAATACGAGACAAAGAACCGACATTACTCCCACGTCGACTGTCCCGGCCACGCTGATTACATCAAGAACATGATTACGGGTGCTGCTCTTATGGATGGTGCTGTCGTGGTGGTTGCCGCTGGTGACGGTCAGATGTACGGTACCCGTCATGCTCGAATAATACATGCATGAGATTGACTTTTCGTTCAGGCCACAAACCCGAGAACATCTCCTACTAGCGCGTCAGGTCGGTGTCCAAAAACTAGTTGTTTTCGTCAACAAGGTCGACACTGTCGAGGACCCTGAAATGTTGGAACTGGTCGAAATGGAAATGCGCGAGCTCCTGTCCTCATACGGCTTTGATGGAGACAACACACCTATCATCTTTGGCTCTGCCCTTTGCGCCCTCGAAGGTACCAGGCCGGAAATCGGAGTCGAGAGGATTGATGCTTTGATGGAGGCTGTCGACAACTGGATCCCAACCCCTGTCCGAGACACTGAAAAGCCCTTCCTGATGTCAGTTGAAGAAGTCTTCTCCATTGCTGGAAGAGGAACTGTCGCCTCGGGTCGTGTGCTGCGAGGCGTGCTGAAGAAGGATAGCGAGGTTGAGATTGTGGGTGGTCGTGAAGAGGTTATCAAGACCAAGGTTACAGATATCGAAACCTTCAAGAAGTCCTGCGATGAATCAAGAGCTGGTGACAACTCGGGTCTTCTCCTTCGCGGTGTCAAAAGGGAAGATGTCAAGCGTGGAATGGTGGTTGCGGTTCCAGGTTCTGCCAAGGCGCATCAAGAAGCGCTTGTGTCGCTCTACATTTTGACAGAAGAAGAAGGAGGCAGAAAAACCGGCTTCACCGAGAACTACAAGCCGCAAGTCTTCATTCGGACCGCAGACGAGGCGGCACAGCTCAAGTTCCCAGAGGGTACCGAAGATCCCACCAGGATGGTCATGCCAGGAGACAACCTTGAGATGGTCCTGAAGACACATCATCCCGTGGTGATGGAGGCTGGTGAACGATTCAACATGCGAGAAGGTGGACGGACTGTGGCCACCGGCCTTATCACCAGAATCCTCAAGTAAGCTGGATGACCACTGGACCACGTGCAGAGGGGAACAAGAGGTGGGCTACGCTGGCACCGACGCCTCGGAAGCTTTGTATCAAAATGTGCCATGTCTTCACCGTGTCATAATTTGGGATGTGTTTTGTGAGGGATTTCGGGTCCCGGAATAGGGGCGATCATGACTGTGGAGCATTGTAACATTGAGGGAGTCCGAGCTGGGAAAGAAGAAGCTTGCATATACCAACCTCTCTACTTCAATTCAAAAGTGTTTAAGCATGCTACCATATGGATGAAGGGGTTGTTTACACCTAGGAATCCGCTTCTACAGCCTCGCTCATGGTGACCTGTGCTCATTTCCAGGATAATCACTTCATCTCACTTCGTCCACAACCATGGCTAGATTACACTGAGACGCACGAGCCATGAACGGGCCTCAATCAGGCAGACCATGTCGACCAGCGAAGCCACCTACTTACTTGTCGTCTTACTTCCGCGGCTCAGGAGGAGTGGGAGTTGAGGGCAAGGGGTTGTTCAGCCTCGTCACGTGTACCTACCATTTCTACCCTCTTACGCTCTCCCCCTTGTGTATGGTGTACTCGTACATGCGAATGCAATATTGAGGAGGTCGAATGGGGTCGCAAAGAATAGGGTTAGTAGTTGAAAAGGATAGATTCCGGGGCTGAAGGCCTTTTTTTTACCGTAGGAGTGAGAATGTACCGAGTCAAGTTTGGTGGCACGAACGATTCCACTAGGTGTATGTGGCTGCAGCCTTTGTGTTCTGTATTCTGTAGACTTGTAGAAGCACTCATGGAGAGGACTGTGAATGAAAAAGTGACAGTGTTTTCTGCCTCCTTTCCTTCTCCGCGCGCTATTGTACTGTGTCACCTATGTGTACAACTTTGTGACATGGAAGGGGATACTGGGATCTGAATATCAGGTACAGACATATGTGTGCATCTCAAATACTTTTTGGTTTGATAGTGAGCTGGGGAATAATGTGATGGAAACTCCTGGTACGTGAGACACCATACCCGCACCGATGAGAGCACAATTCATGCCATCGTGCATACTAATCTGGACGCCATGCAAACCAATGAACCACTTCAAACACCATCGAACTCAGACTCAGACTTCCGGAACTTGTTGTGTCGCGCAATGGATCCCGCCGCCCGTCCTCGGCAACATGTTGATGAGCACCTGGACCACTTCCCTGTCGGGGAACAACTTCTTGAACAACTCAAAAGCCGCGATATCCTGTCTTTCCTGCCCGAATTTGGGTATGATAACCCCTCCGTTCACGAGGAGGTAGTTTGCATACGATCCGATGACCTCGTTATGCTGATCGGGCGGTCCCAGGAGTGTGATGTCGGGCTCCTCGCAGTCATACACGATTAATGATCGACCCTTGGAGTCCCTTGCCGATGTGAGGATAGAGCGGGCAGATTCGTAGACGTCGACCGCTGTGGGATGAGCATTCGGCCCGGGCTTGCTGAGAAGCACAACGCCGGGGGACGTGAAGCGTGCCAGCGCGTCGATGTGGTAATCTGTAATGTCGTAGTCCTTGACGCCGGGAATCCAGATGAAATGCGTGACTCCGAGCTTTTCCGTGAGCTCAGCTTCGGCATCAGATCTGGAGAACCCAGGATTCCGGTTGTCGTTGACGATGCAGCTCTCTGTACCGAGGAATGTGCCCTCGCCGTCGTGCTCAATGCCACCTCCCTCAATGGTGAGTTTGGAAGATACCGAGGCTTCATTCGCGTGCGCAGCAATTTGGGAAGCAACGTTCTCATCACCAATGGCGGGAAGTTTGCCGCCCCAGTAGTTGAAATTGAAACCGACAGCCGCTCTTCTGCCCGTAGTCATGTCCTGCACGAAGACCGGCCCACTGTCGCGGATCCAGAGCTCACTCACCGTTGCCGGCCTAACTGAGACGTTGCCGCTGACCATGGATTCTGCCTGCGGAATGAGCTCCTCGCGGGCGTAGAGGTGCACTGGCTCGAAGCGGGAGATGGTATTGGCGATGCTGGTCACTTCGGACTGTAGAGCTTCCAGATGCTCTGTGCTTTCTGCTGACTCTCTGCTGGGGAAAGCCATCAGGGTGTGCGAGTGGCGTGCGCTTTCCGCTGGCATGCGAAAGCGACCATGATGGGCGTGGTCGGGCATGCTCGAGACTTGTCTTCTGACTGGTATTTTTGGGGGGATTATCGTCGTCGCTTCATAGGACTTGGACACTTTATGGTAGAGAGATGTTGGTTTGCCCTGAGTTACTCTGCGACCCAGACAAGATATATTTCGAATAAAATGCCATGTAGACCTGGGTAGCATATCGATATTGTAGGGGCGACAGAGCGCAAATTGACGCCATTGGCACGTTGGAAGGCAATTTATTTACTGGATTATCAAGGTCGCTGACATCTTACCTTCTGAGGCAGCACCGGCCGGAAGGACCTTCTGCGAACGGCTAGAGAAGTGGAGAATCAATGTTCCGCTTTGGCCCCACACTACAAAAGACTGTCAGGACGGCTGTGGACATCAACGCTGTCTTGCTCTTGCATCATGTATGGCGCGTTTGTATCAAGTAGCAAGGAGGAGAATGGAGGAGGCCACAGGGCAACCAACATCGAAGAAGTAACCGAAGGGTACATTCTCGTGTTGGACGCTGTAAAATCTTTGCTATTCCTTCGGTCCTACAATTTCTACGTCTGATAAGCTCGATATTTCTGTTGTACCACTGCTCTACCACCAACCGACATGTCCTTCAACGGTAGCATCGTCGACGCCACCATCGCCGACTTATCACAAGCTCTATGCCACGGAAAGTTGACTTCAGTTGATCTGGTTGCCAAGTATCTACTTCGCATCAGTGCATATGACTGCAGAACCACGACCCTAAACTCAATTCCACTGATCAACGAGAATGTTTTCGAAGAAGCAGCCGCGGTAGACGACCGTCGTGCTGCTGGTCAAGCACATGGTCCCCTTGAAGGACTTCCTTTCACGGTCAAGGACAGCTACAAAGTTCGCGGGATGACTGTGGCTAGTGGTTCAGAGGCCTTTGAGAACGTCGTTGCCAATGAAGATGCATTCACTGTGCGAGCTCTGCGAGACGCGGGGGCTGTCCTGATGGGCAGGACAAACATGTGTCCTATGGCATACGGTGGAATGCTTCGTGGTGTTTATGGTCGGGCAGAGAGTCCGTACAACAAAGACTACCTAGCGGCCGCTTTTGGATCCGGCTCTTCCAATGGGAGTGGTGTCTCTGTTGCAGCATCGTTTGCCGCCTTCGGCATGGGCGAGGAAACGGTGTCGTCCGGCCGCTCTCCCGCTTCAAATAACGCCTTGGTAGCTTACACTCCGTCGCGAGGACTCATATCAATCCGCGGCAACTGGCCACTGTATCCAACCTGCGATGTTGTTGTTCCTCATACACGCAGCATGGGCGATATGTTCGTTCTAATGGATGTGCTTACCAGACAGGACCCAGAGACCGTTGGAGATTTCTGGAGAGATCAACCATTTTTACAGCTTCCAGCGTCGTCCGGGTCTGACATTTCAAAGTCTTCGATCACTACCAAGGACCCGAGATGTCTGAATGGAAAGCGGATTGCAGTTCCCCAAATTTACATCAAACAGCAAGATGGCGGACCGTTGATATCCCAAGCCATCGAGCCTCTATGGCATCAGGCACAGGCCGACCTTGAGGCTGCGGGTGCGACTGTCGAGATAATCCCAGATCTCCCAGTGCTGCGTATATACGAACAAATGCTGCGCAAGCCAGAAAGTGACGACACATCATCCTCTCTGCCTTATTTACCTGATGACTGGAACAGCACCGAGAGGGGACTTTTGATCGCTCATGCCTGGGAAGACTTTCTGCAGAACAACCACGACCCGCACATTCAGTCATTGACACAGGTAGATCCAACCAAGATCTTTCCTCACTTGCCACGCGATAATCCCCAAGTCAAGTTTACCGAACCAGCCAATGCCGTCCATTGGGCGAAGTTGGCAGACTACGTCGCCAACCGACCCCCTGCCAGCAGGCCAGGCAAGAGCGCCATCTACGACGTTCCACATCTTGAGAGGGCCGTGCGAGCTCTCGAACAAATCCGAATCCGTTTCTTTGAGGATTGGATGTTGGTCCACAACTACGACTTGGTCGCCTTCCCCGCTGCTGGCGATGTCGCCCGCGCCGACGCGGACATTGACGACAAGAGCGCCCAGCATGCCTGGACGGATGGCGTCAAGTATAGTCATGGCAACAGGGCGTTGCGACACTTGGGGATCCCTAGCGTGACGGTGCCAATGGGAATCCTTGCGGACTCGAGGATGCCCATGGGTTTGACGTTCTTGGGTCGGGCTTACCATGATCATGACTTGCTCCAGGCCGGTTATGCATACGAACAGCAAAGCAAGAGACGAGTCGTGCCGCCACTGACGCCGGCATTACCGTCGGATGTGATCCCAACACAGAGACAGGTGTTTTCCAAAGCGAGGCCAAATCTGACAATAACAAGATGCAACACCAGTCCAGGTCAAGATGGCAATCTGTTCGCTTCGGTTGAGGGATCACTCTCCGCGGTAGGGGGATCGGGTGAAGCTTTCAACCCTATCCTGGAGATCTACATCGACGGTGAACTTGTTCCTCCATCATCGACCACGATTCAACCACTCACCATCGGAGATGGGGACTCGTACGTTTCAAACTTCGTCTGCGAACACCCGACACTTCAACCACCGATACCGGACGACCGCAATCGCGTAGTCGGCAAGATCGCCAGAGACAGTACGATGGTCGTGATTCTCGCGCGAAATGGACAAGACGGCAGGCCATCGGGGTGTGTGAAGCTGCTACACTGACGAGCGGAGGACGTGAGAGGCAGAGGATGGTGGCTCTGCTGGTAAATAATGATCTATCAAGCTGTGTTCGATGCTGGGTCAATACTGAGCCACTTCGGATTGCATACAAGAGAGTGACGTTGGACAGACGACAGAAAAAAGATACGACAGAAGGCGTTCGCAGCTAGATATCTAGGAAGCACACTGCTCTCGCTCGTCTGCCGGAGGAGGCTGGGAGACTGGAAATGCTCATTACGATTCAACCCGACTTGCTATTCCTTCACGGTAAATTAAGCAACAGCACTTTGATTCCCAAACATATCACAAGTACCCAAGAAACACCTTTCAACCCAATCGTCTCAGATCCTAGATTGTTGAATACTCTTGAACGCAACCCTGCCGTCCTTGACCTCGAGGACATTAACCGGCACCCGGACCCTGACAGTTTCCTCACCGGGCAAGTTCATGGGAGCCGAGAATCCCGCAACATAGGACACCGCCCTCTTGCAAGTCGGGCAGAACCATTTCTCTCTCGAAGGGGGTTCGGCGGAGGTGAAGCTGCGGGTAATTGCCAACGGGTCGACTTCACGAACGCAGACATTGCAGAACTGGTGGTCGCAAGGGCGGACGCTACACCGGGAGGTTTTGTCAGTAAAGGACCAATCGACAGAGGTCAGTTGGATTGCTTCCTTACACACAGTCACACAGTCTGATACCGCACTTGCACCGGGTCGGCTGTGATGGATCCAGCGACGGCTCGCTCTGCACACCTTTTTGCTGATCCATGGCCGAGACGGACTTGACGTTGTCAAAGTCTCCCCCGTCAACGCGATTCTCGGGCTGCTCTTCCACGACGAAGAATGCGCCGCCCTCTTCGACGTAGCCCATGGCATCAATCGGCGGCGGTGGGGGCACGACGTGGGTGACGGCCTCGCAGGACGCCGGGTCCAGGATGTGCACATGGACCAGCCTTGCAGCTTCGGTGTTCCAGATGGACGCTGGATTGTGGTCGCGATATATGTCTTGGACTGTGGGCAAGAAGGAAGAAATGAGCCACCATCATGTCCCAAAATTGTACCAGGGCGGCCATCACCAAAGATGTGATCAGTCTTCACGGGTCTTCTTGAAGGGTACACTCACCGAGCTTTCCACCAGCGGCCAGTCCCATCGCCTTGAGGTCTTTGGTCGTGATGGTGGGTTTGGACTCTGCTGCATTCATTTGGGGTTCTCTCGACATGTCCTGATAAGTAGCAGCCTCGAACTCGCCAGCGTCGAAACCTTCGTCAGCGGCTGCAAGAGCTGGAAGGCCTTGGTCTGCCATCGATAGGCTTTCACCGCGAGTATATGCGGAGGATGTGGCCATCATATGCTCGAATCCATGATTTGCAAGTGCACTTTCGACACCCATGCTTTCGATAGATTGATATACTCCCTGAGGACGACGAGGGGCATCACTGTACGAACTCATGTCTCCCAACTCGTACTTGCGTCCTGACAACATAGATTTGAGTCTATTCTTTCTCAGAGCAGCTCTGTATTCTGGTACGAATACCTGACCTGACATTAACGACATTTCCATGACAGTAAACAAGAGATACTCACGGGACAGTCCTCGTCTACCTGTGCTCCTCCAACCATATCCGCCACCGTTGCTGGGACGTATTCGACAGCCTTCTCTGGGTACAGCCTGATGGTGTTGCCAACTCCGAACCCCAACTGGCGTGGCGTGCTGTGTTCGTTGAGTCGCCCGTATTCCAGGTCTGAGGCCTTTATGTCTCCAGTCTGGTCTTTGGCCCAAGTCCGCAATCTCTCCTGGAAGGCTGGGATGATCTCGATCTGCAGGCCCCCGTGCTTCTCTTCCCCCGTCTTTTGGCCCTCGACAGTGTATCCAGAACCCACTGTGAATGGTTGATTAGATGAGATCCATCCACGCCTCGGGAGTGAACGAGGACGGAAGGGGGAAACTTACATGGCATGGCGACAAACTGTCTCACAATCCCGGGAGCGACACAGATCCCATCGAGCCACTCCTGGCCCGGGACGACGACATAGTCTTGAACCCCCTGTCCATCGGCCGAGATATCCTTTTCTTGGTCCATCTTCTCCCCAGAGACGGCATTGATACGTCCCACCGAGAATCTCAGAGCGTACCGCGTGCCGATTCGTGCTTCTAGGCTTATCCAAAGTGCCTCTCGCTGCCACATGGGCATGAAAACTCCGCCTGCCTGCACAATCGCACTGGGCAACTTGTTGGCATATCCCTCAACGCTGTAGAGGGGAAAGGCTCCCAGCGACCCAGGTAGCTGGTGAAGCTTCTCGTCATCTGGCATTCTAACCGTCCGGTGAAAGATGATCTCAAGCCCCCGCGAGTCCTTGAGGCTGTCGATCTTCGTGCCATAGAGGTTCGAGTCATCCTCGCCGACGTTGAACTGGATCGCCTGGCCGAAGTGGCGATTGGCATACGCAATGAGTCTGTCATCAATGTGGATGGACTTGCTGGGATCGGAGGGCAAGTCATCCTGGACCACAGTGATTTGCTCGAATTCGTGGAGCTGAGGCTTGATGCGCCCGGGTTTCCACTTCTCTCCATTGCGAGAGAGTGAGTCGGGAAGAACATAGCCCAGCTCTACCACCTGGTCAGGCCCTTCTCTTTGCGTACAACACACTAGAGGTCTAGAATAACGACTGACCTTCTAACTTAGTCCACAGCTCTGACACCGGGATATCACCAGGTAGGAGAATGGTTTCTTCTGATTCTGGAATCGGCATATCGTCATCAGGGCTTGAAGGCTCTGGTGCGTCGTCGTCTAGATAGCGTCTGAGGCCTTTGATGCGAAGACGCACTTCGCTACCTGTGGATTCAAGCGATTTGCCATGTTCACTCGTGGCCATGATCTGCTGCTAACTGTCTGCTAAGCCTCGTGTGTGTGATAGAGAAGAATAGAAACAGCTAGACAGACAGATAAGAATTGATGTTTCCAAGGAACCATTTCCATGTTATAAGGCTGGACAGAAGGCAGCCACTTTATTGTCCAAGCGCCCAGGATCTCGCTTTTCACAGCTCAGCCTCACCGGTTAGAGGGACTGGCACTGAAAAGGTTTCCCATGTCTGCCTATCGAGCGCTTTAACCATCCTTGTAACCCTCCGTGCCATCCTTACAGGGGGGGGTTTGAAATCTGCCAATCGCCAGCTCAATTGATCATGCAAGCCAAGTCAAAAGGCAACATTGGATGAAGAAACACAAGTCAGGCCCCTCGTCCAACACACCATCCCCCACCCCCCCTCTTGGTCTTTATCGTGAGACATACGAGGAGACCCTTGTCCTGTCCATTGATATCATCCTTCCCGTGTTTGATTCATGGCACAGACACACATGACAATTCAGCCTGACGGGCCGACTTCAACTTCAGCTTCAACTTCAACTTCACAGTGGCAATGTCCTTCGGCTTCAGCATCGGCGACATAATCCTGCTCGGGCAACTGTCCTACAAGCTCTACGACACTCTGACCACCGGCCGACGGAATGCCAGTCGCGAACTGCAGGAGCTGAGTGACGTGCTGTTCGGGTTAAATTGTGCCCTGGGTCATCTGCGCCATGTCGCCGGGGACATTTCAAAGGCAGCTTCGACATCTCTATCCAACGACAGCCATGGACGGGAAATGCAACAGGCCCTGGATCAAATGGTGCAGAACTGCGCCGTCACCTTGGATGACTTGGACAATGTGACCAAGAAGTACCGCGAAGGGGCCACGGTGTCGGAAAACAACGAGAACAACGAGGGTGTCGAGTCGGGCGCTGGTTCTGGTTCTGGGAAAGGCCAGAAAAGAAGGAAGGTCTTCAAAAACGCCATCGCGTCAAACTGGGCAAAGATCAGATGGGATATCGACAAGGACTCGTTGAAGGCATATCGCGACAAACTACAAGCGCACATCAATGCTATCAACCTGGTCCTGAGTACCTTTCACTGGTAAAGTTGTCCCCTGGGATCGCCATCCATTGCCCCCCCCTTTCCCCCGTTCTTGAAGGCTGGAACGGGTCATCAATCACTCAAATTGCTGACATCGACCGGGACAGGTCAGCAACTGAAAAGATACATGCCCACAACAAAGCCCAGGCCGAGAAGATACAACAATATCACGACGACATGGTCAAGTCGAATTCCTCCCTCGCACTTCTCGTCGAAGCGATGCATTCGATGATGCTGGAGCCAACACGAACAACACCCCATTCGGCTCAGATGGACATCGAGAACTCCTTTCGTGGTCTCAGTGGCCTTGCGGCGGAACCACCACCACCTGTGGGACCTAAGAGTGTTCCTTCACCAGTGATCCGATCTGTGGCCGCTCACCGTGTTCCACTCGGCATGTCCGACATGAGGTCGACCTTCGCAGGTCTGGCAGCTTCTTCCATAGCTCCTGGTATCCCTCAACATACGCCTAGCCTCTTATTTAGGGCCATGCCAGCAGTCGATGCAGCAGCAACAGCACCTCCCCTGGTTATTAGACATCGGGTACCGCCGAAACCTCGAAAAGAACTTCCCCCTGAGATCGTTGCGATCAACATCAAGCGCCAAACCCAAGGTGCAAAGGCACTGGCAGATCTCAAGCAGAGTCTCACTCCAAAACCTCAACCGTCCTTCCTCAAGCCAGTCGTCCCAACCGTCCCGCAACTGTTGGAGGGCCTAAAGTACGTCTTCAGCCCATTGCCGCGCAGCACCAGCCGACAACTGGAAGCCGCACGACGGATGCGCATCAGAGAGCTCGAGTTGTGGATCCAGTCGCTAGACCACCTGATCAGCTCTTCTGCCATATCTTACGCGCCATCTACTAATAACAAGGCTGCAGTGACCGTCTCTGACCAGTGCACTGACTTGGTCGGGCTGCTGTCCGAGATGAACAAGGCGATCGAGTCGTCCAGTGAGAATATGAGGGACATGGTCTACGAGGGGTTTTCGGCGGCGCGCGTCGACCATGTCCTGGATAAGGTGTTGACCTGGACAAAGTCTATACGGGCCCAGAAGGAGGTCGAAGAATTTATGGAAGAGCGGTCGGACTGGCGAGACACGCATTGATGATATCCTTCTCTCATCGCGGTTCTGTAGACCCTTGTGTTTTTGGTTTTCTTTAGCATACTCAGAGTACATACCGTGTACTTATGTGACAGAGCGCTGGGATGGAATCTAATGGCCATAATAACGTGTGTTAAAAGTCTTTGGCACAGTGTCTAGCAGGACATATTCCTATAGACAACGATCCGTTACCGAGACAACATATAACGAAATGTAACATGTATTATGTCACTGTACGCAAGGCTGTAAACAAGGCTGTGTAGAGGCAGGGGGGTATGGAGGGAGAGCAGCATGTATTTCTGCCATTCCCCCAACAAACATTAGCGATGAACTCGTGGTTAGTCGACAGAACTCGGTGCAATGCCTAGCACCAACTAGACAATCTGGGCAATTTCTTGGGGTTTTTTTTGGTCTCGAGATACACGGCAGTTGTTACAAGACCACCATCCCCATTACATAATGCATTCCTACATCCCTGGTACCTAGTACCTACTGATCGGCTGTTTCTTTTTGTGCGAGATCCTGTACATATTACCTCGTATGTATGCATGTACTTTGGTAGCTAACACGCGACTTACTCGGTCCCCTTATATATCATATACTCGGTACCTTTACAGGTTTTTACTCACCTCGCTTCGCATCGAACATCCGAATCCGAATCCACATCTTGGGGTTGAGAATCAGAATATCTATCCACATCTCCCGGTAAATGATTTGTGTCTCCCTCGGAAAATAACATACATAACCAATATCCTGTATCATCGCCCAAACCCCGCACCTCGCCATACAAAAGAAAAATAATATGGAAGGTCGCTGCCAATGCGGCACCGTGCGCTTTCGCACGCCCACGGAAAAGCCCATCAAGTGGTACATCTGCCACTGCCACGAGTGCCGCCGCCAGAGCGCCAGTGCGTTTGGCATCTCGGCCATCTTCCCGCACTTTGATCTGCTTTCCCAGGTTTCCGTTGCGGGGGACGAGTCTGCGTCCAGTTCGGCGCTTGGGAGAGACAACGACAACGACGGCAAGAATGGTGGCGCCGCGGATGCGGAGTCTCCCGTCATCGGTGTCTACGAGCACTCGCGCACGACGTCCGGCCGGGCCAAAAAGTGCTACTACTGCAAAAAGTGCGGGACGCGCATCATGAACGTCAGCGTCGCGCCCACGGGCAGTTCGGGCTACGTCGCCGTCAAGGGTGGGTGTCTCGAGGGCATCGACGGCGACATCTTCACCGGCGCAACGCACATCTGGACAAAGAGCGCGTTGGTCCCCATTCCAGAAGGCGCAGAGTCGTACCCCGAGGAGCCGCCGCCGAGGGCATAGCGGAAGGGCAGGAGGAGGGGTGTGAATGAGACAAGGTACAGGAGGTTGATGACTCGAGGAATTCAATGCGCGAGTGGAATCAAGGGGGATGGGTATTTTCTCTTTCTCCGATGTTCCGTCTGGTCTGCGAAATCCTCTTTGCTGGTCCTAACACACTTTCATGGAAACAATCGAGCATTGCACGCACGCTGGGGCCACCAGTCCAAGAGGCAAGTCTGTGTGTAATAGTGATGGATTTGCTCCATTCCAGAGCTGTCTTCACTCCTTGTCATCGTGACTTTTGAGACTGCTGTATATGGCATGTGTCATACAAAACGTTGTAGGCCTTTGTACAATAATAATAGTAGTAGTAGTGAGGTTGTGATGTGATGTGGTGTGGTGTCGCAGCTCCTTGCTCTGTCCCCCTTCATTTCGCCCACTTGCCGTGAACAACAAGTTCCAGGTCTATTTTCAACGAACACCTTGCCCATGTGTCAATAATCCACCTCGTTTGTTTGTTTAGTGGCTTTAACTCGTCGATGCCAGCACGCCTGCGGTTTCAGCGAGCGACCCATCCGCAACCGCTTCACGCTCTGCTCTCCGTCGTCTCTTCTCGATTATAATCTGTTTCCGCTGCTGGAGGAGCTTGACTTGTCTATCTTCAACGCCCGTCAACCAATAACCAAAGGATCCCCCGATGCTTGCAAAAAGTGGGTACACCCATAATGTGCCGCGTTGAAAGAATGGTCTCATCTCTATCCCCAGTTGGACAAAGCGTGTGGCGATGCCTGGTAGAAATGTTAAAAAACGACACCCAAAGGGCCTGTTAGGCAAGGTACAAGGGGGGGGATAGGTGTTTACCGAAACCGGCCCAGAACAGGATCTTGTGAACCATGATTGTGTATGTTTCGCGCCTTGGGCGCGTTGGAGCAGTGTCAGCAACCTATCACTGGAGCAGGAATAAAGCTGGCGCAGTAGTTGGGAATGGTTATCGCAAGGCAGGATTGTGGAATGAGGTTGTCGTCGCGGTGTTAGAGAGCTCGGAGATTGGAGAGCAGCTCAGGTGAACAGACCCTTTCACGGCAACTTTTTGGATGCCAAGTTAAAAGTGCTCTTGACAGGTTTTGTACTCGACCGTACTACGGTGTGATCACGTGCCAAAGTCATGCTCTATCACGCTGCCACGTTACTTGCTGGCAAGGCTGAATCCGAACAAAACATAAGGAACGTACGAGAGTTTGCTCTTTGCTATATAGCTACAGTTTATCATATATCGATACACACCCTCGTTAGCCTCGTAGTCACAGGATGCTCTCTAGATGATGGCGGGTAGGAGGGGAAGCTGGCCGGACTTGACCGACCACTTAAGGAAGAAAGATAAACCGAGATTCCACTTGGGGCCGGGTGTATCCTGGGGTTGCAGTGAGGATCTGCTGACAACTACTGAGATGCACAACGGAAACCACAATGAAAAGGGAGAGAAACCTCCATCCTCCAGGGACTTGAGACTATGTGAGAGAGGGTAATCGCATATTTAAGAGTGTCCCGAGTACAAACGGTCAGGGACTGGAAACTCTGGACCTGGCGCTCACTTACCTTTTGCTTACTAGGGATTGCCAAGACATAAGACAATTTCCCACTCGCTCATTGGCTTCTTGGGTTGCTGTTCCTGATCAATGGGCGGGTTGGCTGCCGTTGACTAAGCAAGAACAAGCTGAGACTAGACCCGAGGGGTTCGCCTATGAAACTGCGCCCCAGGCATCGAAGCCTAAAAAATAGCCTCCGCGTCCGCCCATCAGCACAGCACCCTCCATCATTATCCATCAGACCATGGAAAAATCAATGAATCCTTCTGTGTCTGTATCTCACACACACCATCTTCTCAATGTCCCGCCATGGATGCCATTGACAGAAGATTCGACCGTCTTTCTGTGACAAGGATACCGCCATCCTGATCAACTCGCGTCTGAAATGACTTGACGCCAACTGCGCACCCGCAATCTCCCATTCGCCGCCCGTCCTTCCGTTGTCCCGCTGCCAAACTTCTTCACCCTCGCTGCCACGATGAGGGTCCACCTTCGCATTCGTGAACAGCTATGTCTGGTCATCGGCCTCACGAGTCTGTTGTCACTGACCATACTGACCGTGTCGATCTGGGTTCAGATTGTGGATCGTCTCAACAACGCAAAATGGGAAACTCTCTCGGTCACGGCGAACTTGAAGGCTACTCAAGTTGCCCAGGACATCAGTTTACTAGGCACATCCGTACAGTCCATCGCCACCCGGAATATTCTCCAGTCCCTACTCCAGGATTACAACAGTGGCAACGACACTCAGGAACTGTACGATGCCATGCAGGTAGGTTAATGACAAAAGTCGTCGGCCTCCACCATCAAAAGTACTGACCTCGACCTAGAACAACCTTGTGGATGCGCTGTCTGGCGGGACCGATGATGCAGTTCTTCTTCAAGCTGCTGTATTTCCTCGCCGGCCCCGGTCCGATGGAGGTGATGGTGCACTGACTGGCGCAACTGGGAGGGGAGCTGCCAGCAAGGTCGTGCTCCCTTTTTCTTATCAGAATCGATCTGCGGTCCTCTTAGGCGAAGGTAGCGCTGGGTACCCGCCCCAGCTCTACCCTAACCTCACTTATGGCGATGAGCCATCCGATAACAACTTTGTCTTCTACGAGGGCAAGATGCTGGACAACAACTCGACGCTGTTTCTCGGTCCGCTCGCCCTTCAGAGCAGCACCTCGCTCATCTCATTCACAGTGCCCATCAACAACAACACCAGTCGTATCGATGTACTTGGGTGGCTCACTGTTGTGGTTGACGGAAAAGCGCTTTATAACATTGTCGAGTCTCCGGTTGGACTAGGTAAGACGGGAGAGGTTGTAATTATTGGCCCTGATCGCCCCGACAACCTCTATGCCGAGAACATCACTGGTCGCTCAGAACCTGCGAATTCCAATATTCCCACACGGTTTGTCCTACCACCTCACGGTGATCGCCACCCTTTACGTGCCAAGGATCCTTACCTTCCTTTCCCTATGAAAGCCTACCCAGCTGTGCTGCGGGCTTGGTGCGTCAAAACTGGGGAGCTCAATAATGCGGGAGCGCTGATGTCTACGCACAATGAGGAAAACCAGAAGATATCCGCCGGCTTTGCCAAGGTCTCTTCTGACATTGTTAATTGGGTGGTTGTCTTTGGACAGGCACACAGTGAAGTAGTCGCTCCCATCAATCACCTACGGAATACAGTGCTAGCCTGTATTTTCAGCGTGGTCGGTGCAGTCATCCTTGTTACCTTGTGAGTGCTGCAAAGCCAGATGTCCTCGCATGTACTGATCCACTCGCAGTCCGCTTGCCCATTTTGCTGTCAGGCCTATCATTGCTCTCAGAACTGCGGCCGAGAATTCCGTGACTACGTATGAAGCTTACGATCCCTCCGAAAAATCGTCCGACACGGATAGCGACAATGCTTTGATGAAACCCGACCTCATGCAGGAAAAGGGGATGAATCACAGTCTTTGCAAAAGGTCCGCGAAAAAGAAGACCTTCGTTCGACCAGTGCGAGTGTTTAAGATCCCTGAGCGCGTGCCCGAACACAACCATGTCGTCCATGACGAGTTGACGGACTTGACCCGAACTTTCAACGAAATGGCCGACGAGTTGACGATCCAGTACGGACGACTTGAGCACCGAGTAAAGAAAAGAACTGCAGAACTGGAACAAAGCCGAAATGCCGCTGAAGCTGCCAACGAAAGCAAGACCTTGTTCATCGCAAACGTTTCTCATGAACTCCGCACACCATTGAACGGTATTATTGGCATGTGTGCAATCGCCATGCAAGAGGAAGACGTCAGCAGCATCCGACAGTCCCTGAAGATCATCTACAAGTCTTCAGATCTGCTGTTACACCTCCTCAACGACCTACTGACTTTCAGCCGCAGTTCCTTTGGACAAAACTTTGCCATTGAAGAAGACACGTTTCGACTTTCGGATGTTGGCTCACAACTTGTATCCATTTTCGAGAAGCAAGCGCGTGAAGCTGATATCAGTTTGAGAGTCGTCTTCATCGGCACAGAATCAACCGCAACCGGAGATACTGATCAAGACAACCTCGAGGATGTCATTCTTGCTAGACATGATATGGCTGGCGCTATTGCGAAACCGAAGACGAGTATTCTGGCCAAAGCACCTGCCGATCTTGGGCCGTTGAGGGAATTAGGATTAAGAGGGGACAAAAATCGGATACTGCAAATTCTGATGAGTAAGTGCAGATTTCGCGTTGCCCGCTTTAGTTATCATGATGGGCGTCATAGACCATCCTTGAGCGTTTCGCAAGCTCTAATTTTGATCGTGTTCCTCTAACTGGTGCGCAGATCTCGTAAGCAACGCGCTGAAGTTCACGGCCGTCAAAGGGGTCGTCGAAGTGCGAATACGATGCAGAGGATTTGTGGAACCCGAAGCCATGCCTCAAGTGGCATATACAAACACCACAGTTGGCCAAGCAACGCCTTCAAAGGCACTGCAGCGACGAGATACTGAATATGTCCCGCCAAAGTCATCGATGAAGGGTTTATTGTTCGATTTTGAGGTCGAGGATACGGGTTCGGGTATACCGGAGCATTTACAACAAGACATCTTCAAACCCTTTGTCCAAGGCGACTTGGCTTTGAGCAAGAAGCATGGCGGTGTCGGCCTTGGGCTAGCTATATGTTCGCAGCTCGCAGGCATGATGGGCGGCACTATCACCCTCAAGAGCACTGTCGACATTGGAAGCACGTTCACCCTTTCTCTACCACTGCGTTACACCAAAGAGGCCGTGCCCTCCGTGTCCGACTCCCTCGCGCGACCCAAACCAGGAAGTATATCCAGCAGCATACAATTTGAAAGCTTCAGTACGAAATCTCGCAGGTCAAGAGAACCACGACAACCTATCCGATCAAGACAGACTTCGCTCTATTCAACACAGGACAAAGACTCCCAGCTGGACGTGCCCCGTCTTGTGGGTTTCTCTCAGCCGTATCTGATAGATGGCAACGTGAGCTCAGAAAGAGTGGATACGGTTGCTCAACCGACATTACAAGAGAAAAGGCAGAACGTCCCCCCTCCAAACAACCGGCTCGCATCAATCATGTCTGTCAAGACACCGGATGAGGCAAATGACCCGGCACCGATGAAACTAGGAGACCAAGTGAAGACTGCAGACAGTATCGAGAAAAAGGCACCACCTCCACCTTCAGGGACTGCTGCCGAAATCTCTACTCTCAAAGTCCTTGTCGCCGAAGATAATCCGGTCAATCAACAAGTTATCCTCAAATTACTTAAGCTGGAAAAGGTGGACGACGTAACACTGGCGGAGGACGGGGAGGAAGCTTTCAACGTGGTGCAAAAGTCATACTCTGAAATGGGCAGCGAGAATGAAAAGCCACGGCCTTTCTCACTAGTTCTCATGGATATCCAAATGCCGCGCATGGACGGCATCGAATCCACAAAGAAGATACGGGAACTAGGATTTGACGCTCCGATCCTCGCACTGACAGCATTTGACCATGAAATCAATCGGACAGCTTGTCGCGAAGCGGGCATGAATGGCTTCCTTCCCAAGCCGATCAAACGGACCGCTTTGAGGAAGATACTTGAACAGTACAGGACTCCGAAAGAAGGAAGCACGGATATCCAACAAAATGACCAGCGAAAAGACGGCGAATGAGTCTGGAAGAGGACTAAGGACCTCCACCAAGAGTGTGAGAGCACAATTCCATGAAGATCAGATTTGCTCAATGGCATGTCATTCACGAGAGGCCTCGATGCGGTGATAACTTTGTGCGGATTGTTCAGTCAGAACGCCGAACGCAGTGGGAGAGAGGAACTCCTACGTCTAATAGCAGCGTTGAAGGGGAGGTCGCGAACAGAGCACTGGAACCTACCTCAAACCGATACGACCGAAATGCGCTCAACCCCAGGAGAAGAGCGTAAAAAGCCGTGGCTGGAATAGGCCTGCGAAAAGCACTAAGATGCATTTCAACAGTGGGAGGGCGCATGTGTCCGATGCATCGAACGGATTGTTTTCAAAGCTGGATACACAGCTCCGGCACCACAACTGGAAGGGAACTGGAAGAGCACGAGCTCTTTTATCTTTGGGTCACGCTAGGCGCTGTGCGGGAGCTGGTGGCGCATCATCAGCAAGGATATTAAAAAGGTGGACTGTAATCGTCAGTTCGGACGGATTAAAAGCATGCTATATGTGTTGCTAAGTAGATAAAGGGTAGATATCTGGCTGTACTCGGTACAGAGAGAGCTTTCTCAGGTTGAATTGGACACTTGGTGGATAAATAGTCAAATAGTGCGCTTCCAGGTTCAATGCTTGGCGGTAGTAAAGGGTCCTTTGCACGTGACTTGCACCCAAACGCGCAACTCGCGCGTTAAACTTCAAATCCAGGGATTTCCGACTCTCACTTCAACCACCACCAGAAATTTTCTCTCGAGTTTGGTGCAAATCGCCTCGTCGTCGCCAACATGGCTGACACAGTCATGGCAGATGCTCCTGCGGTCGAGTCCTCAATCCCCTTTTCACTACGTCCTCGATTCAAGATCTCTGATCTCCCTCTGGTCAAGGAACAGCGATCCACCATTGATGCGCTTCTGCTCAAGTTCAAGAAAAAAGGCGGCTACGATAGTCTCCGCAAGCAAGTATGGGCCTCGTACAACACGTCGGATGCGAAGACCGCGCTCACTGATCAAATTCATGCCATCGCGGAGGCCGAGATTGAAAAAGACCCCAATCTACTCAGTCGGGAACGGGGCAAGGCAGCCACCTTGATCCAAGGCGCTGTGGACCGCAGCGGCATCTACCAGGATGTCGAGTCCAGGATCGACCAGGAAATTGCGAAACACCTGAGCACCGTGCTCGACGCGGTGCGTGAGATCCGCAGGGAAGATGTCGGGCCCGAGGTCGCGGCGGAAGAGGAGCAGCGGGGCGGCAAGACCGATGAACAATACCAGGCTGACACTCAGAATCGGGCTGCGGAAAGGGAGAAGAACAGGGCGCGCATGGAGCAGCTGTTGCGTGAGACTGCGGAGCTCAAGGCCAAGATCAAGCTGGAAGAGGAGCGGAAGCGGAAGAAAGAAGAGGCGAAACGTGAGGAAGAGGAGAAGAAGAAACGTGAAGCAGAGGCGGAAGAGCGTCGGCTCGAGCGCGAAAAGAGGCGAAAGGAGGAAGAGGAGCGGGAAGCCGAACGGGTCAAGGCCAGGGACGAGAGACATAGAAAGCGTGAAGAAGAGAGACGAGAACGATATGCCCGGTACGAGAAGGAACGCGACAGAGAGAGAGACCGCGATCGTGATCGTGACCGTGACCGTGAACGGGAGCGGGAACGCGACAAAGATCGTGACCACGAACGAACAAGCCGGAAGAGCACTGATCGGCGAGATTCGCTTGCACCATCAACCACTGCCAAAGATGTTCCCACCGACGAAAAGGATTTGGAAGCCACCGCTCTCGAGCTACTGCTGAGCGAAGGCAAACAAATGGCGGAGAAGTCCAAGCAGAGACACGAGTATATTTTCGACAAGTCCGAAGCGCACAGCAGCTTGCGCAAACATGTCACATCGGATCGACATTCTCACCGCCGGGACAAATCTAGAGAAAGCTACAAACGGGAGCCTGATCGCCGAGACAGATCTCGAGAGAGCTACAAGCGAGAGCCTGACCGCAGAGATAAGTCGCGAGAAAGCCACAAACGGGAGCCTGACCGCCGAGAGAGATCCCGAGAAAGCCACAAACGAGAGTCTGATCGCCGAAGCAGATCCCGCGACAGAAAATCGCTAATTCCGGAGAAAGAAAAGCCAGAACCATCTCGCCCTCAGGAACCCAACAAAGACCGCGAGGAAGGTGAAGCCCGAAGCCAACGCGATTCACCATCTCCCAAAGAAGAGAAACGCGTCGTCCGGGAAAGAAGACCTCGCTCAGCATCGCCAGTCGGTATCGACCGCTATGTGCCTGGAGGCGGGGTCCATCGTACTGAAGAAGAGCGGGAACGTGATCGACAAAGACGTCGCACCCGAGATCTGGACAGAGATCATGAACGGGAGCCGCGGAGAAAGTACGATAGTCATCGCAGTGATAAGGATCGAGATGACGAGGGAGATCGGGAGCGTGATCGCACAGTTGCAGACCGGGAACGCGATCGTACCGTTGGAGATCGTGATCGAGACCGCGAGCGTAATCGGTCGAAGGAAAGAGAGAGGGACAAAGACAGGGAGAGGGACAGAGATAGGGATCGGGATCGGGATAGAGATCGCGACCGAGACCAGAACCGAGACCGCGATCGCGATCGTGACCGAGATAGGTATCGGGAGAGGGAACGCGATCGAGAAGCCGACCGACCTCGCGACCGAGACAGAGAGCGCGATAGAGAGCGAGACCGCGACCGCGAGCGGGATCGAGAGCGAGATCGGGAACGGGAGCGCGACCGTGACAGGGATCGGGATCGTGATCGTGATCGAGAGAGGGAGCGTGAAAGAGATCGGTCAAGAGACCGGGACCGACGAGATCGAAGTCGGCGTCGTGATGATCGACGCGATGAAAGAAAGGATGACCGCCGCGATGATCGACGCGATGACCGACGGGACGACCGCCGTGATGACCGGAGACGCGAAAGTGACAGAAACGATCGCCGAGATCGCGATCCGGTACCGATTGACCGCTATGTTCCAGGTCGGTAATTGAGAAGCAGACCTTGTTTCTCAGACAACTGTCAAGGCTCGTACACGGACGGGTTGTCTGACGGTTGATCCGTGCAAAACTGGTGCTTGGGCTTGGGCTTGAGCGTTTATCTGAGATTGTCGACCTTGGAATTGCAGAGTATGCAGGTCCATCTTCTCCGCATGTCTCCGGTAGTTGAAGTCGGTGCTTGATCTGGGTCTGAGGTCGGGCGACAAGCCGGCGAGGATGGCACGTTCCATCAACATGATACTTGTCAGATTGTCACCTTTCTTGGTCCATATTGAGATGTGTGTGAAATATTGCCGGGGCGAAAAGGACATTCCGAGGATATGGTCACGTTCTATGCCACGAGGTCACTAAGAGATAAAACGATCAAGTCGGGACTGAGACAAACCTCGGGCAATAGCGGCCTGCAATTCTCCACCACAGCACAGCAAACATATCTCCTCCCAACACCTGACATCTTTTCCCTCCTCTGGGCGAACCCGAATCAGCCAGCGCCCGCCTCTGCGATTCTCCTCGTCTTCCCACAACGGCTGGACTCCGGAGCGAAAAATATGAATGCTGTCTTTTTGCTTGATCTGCGACCAGGGCAGGTTGTTGAAAATGCGGTAGAAGGTGCCAATGTCGGCCACCGAATCAACCAACATGGTCAATCGATATGCATCGGGTGACTGTTGGCTGGTAGGCTGGAGGTGAGATTTGGAGTGCCAAACCGACCAGCGGTATTGGAATGGCAGAGGACGGAGTTTTGCTATGACTTGTTTATGCAGGGAAGAGGAGCGGCGTGGCAACGAGGGCCGAAGATTGTCGATGGCATTGCTGGTGGCAGGAGTTACAGGTGAAGAGGTGCCTTGAGGAACAGTTGCTGTCATTGTGAACGGCATGACTGTGAGGCAGAAGCTTGAGAGATGCTAGGAGCAGCAGCAGAGCAACAAGCGGGTTCAAACGGCCGTTGTCTCAAGCGAGCAATGTCAGCGGTTAGCTTGAAGAGATGTAGAATTTTAGGAGAATCGAGAATAATGGAAGATGCAAAAACGGAAAATGCAAAAATACCTTTTTTTCATCGATCCGTCAGAAAGTTCGGTGCAAGTCCAAAAATATATAAAGTTCAAGTGACGATTGACGAGTGATGGCCGGGAATGGGGTCGTTTTCTTCCCTCTTCCCTTGTCCATGCGACCTACCTACTTAGGTACCTACCTACCTGCCTAGATACGGAGTATGTATGTACTGTATGTATGCAAGTACCCCAGAAAAGTATAATCCCTTGTCTTGCGATTTGCTGGTCGGCTCTGCTTTGCTTGATGACCTCCACTCCGGTGGATGGGCCCTATGCCTGTGCCCATGGTCGTGGTCATGCCCAGAATCATACACGTACACGTACACTGGTACTCCTGCATGCAGGAATCTAAAAGAGAAAAAGAGGACAGTAAACGTACGTAAGTACGTGTGTCGACTAGCTCGGGGACCTGGACACCGAGCAGGACACAGGACAGTGCAAACAGGGCAGCGGGTAGCGGATAGCGAACCATCGGGGGGTTAGGGGTGCCTCAGTGGGTTAGAGCGAAGCTGGGGGTCGGTGTCGTCGTCATCTGATATGCATAACCGAGCGGAAGTCGAGTCACAGACAGGGTTGAGAAAAGAGCCGGTGGAGGTCGGGGCGAGAGAGGAGGGAGAAGATAGGTTGTGGGTTTGCGTCGTTTACGCGCCGGAACGGCGGATTCGATGGAGGTGTGTCTCTCTGTTGGAGAGGGTGTTTTCGAGATCCTGAAACATCATCCAGGGGCCGGGTGTGTGAGTACATGAACAAACACATTTGTGGAGGTTTCAAGTACCACATTGCAAGCTACTCTTCAGTTTTACGCGCCTGGTGGGGGTGGGCGTGGATGTCGAGTGTTCGAATATAGTACATAGTGACTGGCTACACAGTCATACCTGAGTACCTCAAAAAGAGGATGTTCTGCCAACTGGATATTCATAGGTAGGTTGGATATGCATGGAAGACTACGGGCTTTTCTGATTCAAGATCCAGTGACAGAGTTTCAGAGCAGTGGTACAAGATGTACTTGGGACATACTTGGACAGGAGGGCCTCCGAGTAGGTGGTGACTGTGACCAAGTCGTAGTGGACACAGATGAGACATGCGTTCGTTCATTGGACGAGGCTGCGGCGGTTAGGAGAGTGGGTGGGCGCTTAGGGAGGTTGCACAGCACAACGCAACGCAACTCAACAGAAGACAACATAGCATCGCATGGTATGGCACAGTAGCACTGCCCCCATCGTTCTCTCAACAAATGAAAGGTGTGCTGTTCGAGTACAGAGATGAAATGGGACGATGACTGCGGAGCAGACAGCGATGAGGCTAGGTGAGGTGAGGTCAAGCTTAATGCGACTCGCCAAGTTCTATGCTCCGCCGTATACGAGATCCGTGGTACTGTAGAGTATACGCCTCAAAGAGCACGTCTCATCATCTCACTCACACATCCATTCGGGTGCCAACTTGTTTCCTGGCGCTTAAGCACGTCGCACGAAACACCCGAACCGCCATCATCACTACTAACAGTCTACGCAACTCCTGTGCATGAACGACTCGTCCATGATCCGCTCTGCAACCTGAACGTTTCAGATCTCTCAAGGAAACCGCCCATCGCGTGGCAACCCTGCTCATCATCACTGTGTGTTAGCGCCCACGACTACTGCCCCGGCATCTCGGCCAAATATCCACGTCCTGATGTCAATGAAACCGGTGCCTTTTTCCAGCAAAGCGATTGGAGTTTGACCATACAAGTCACTTTAATGGATCCATCGATATGATCGGATCGGTTTTCTCCAAGTCTTTCTGTGGAAGAAGTTCGCCACGCCTTTGGGAACCGAGGATGCGTACCTACCCATCCTCCATTCGTCTGCAAAGTTGATCCCATTCGTCCCCTGTCATACTTTGCGCTGTTAGTTGTTTCTATTTCTGAAGTCAACACGAGACTTGGCCTACATGGTGGGTACAGAGCAGTCACTTGTGACCATTCTGGAGGGTACCCCTTTACTTGTCATGGAGTATATCTCCCAATGGGTTTCTTTGGGTCAGAATCACGTTGTTACTGCTTGGCCAGTTGCCATGTTACCTTGGACTAAGTTGAGGTACGGACGTCAGCTTGTATGTGGCCTATATACCCTGTCAAGGGAAAAGAGGACTTTATGGTGCTCAGACCTATCATATAGACCTTGGTATACTGGACTGTTTGCAGAGAGATATGTATAGCATAGCCTGGAGAAACTTTTGGTCTTTATATATTAGCGTGATCGTGCTGTGGACTACCTCTGATCCTGGCCTTGACTCTTCGTTCTTCGCACTTGACGTTGTAAAATGCTGCTGAACGGTGCCACGGAATCCGCCGAGGTGTGAAATAACTCTATGGACGTCCAGAGCCGAGAGTCCCTCCTTTCTTTTTGCCATGCACGATATGCTCGTTGGATTATTTCCAGAGATTAATGCTATACGCATTGATTCAGTTGCTCGCTTGGTTCTATCATCACTAAACCTGCAGCGGCATGGTTGGTTCACGATGGATCGGCGCGCCAAGAGCCCAGAATTTCTGTCTTTTGAAATTACATCAACCAGCATCAGCATCTGAATCGAGCAGTTGATAGAGGATTTCGCAGAGATACCATCCCATTTCCCTGGCAAGAAAACATAAGCACATTGTCTGAACTATAGCAATCATGCCAGACCAGAAAGAGAGTCGACCGGCAAAGCAACGGCGAACCCACGGAACGCCACTGCTCGATCAATCTAGTCCGATCGAAGATGACGAAGACTCTTCAAGTTCCTCGTCGTCCTCGTCTGTACGCCTACCAACGTCCCGACTTGCTCATCGATTATTAAAACACACCAATCCACCACCTACAGAGAGATCTGCCGGCGACGGCCAAAGCGGAGACGAAGACGAGGATGACGAGACGACATCGTCTTCAGATTCCGAGGATTCCGACAGCGAAGAGTCGTCTGAGGAAGAGGATCAGGACAGCGAGGACGAGGCCGAGGACGAAAATGAGGGTGTCGAGGATCATCTCGATGCCAGCGACTCAGGAGTGCCGCAATTCACCACGTTACCTGCTCCAGCATCGGACCTCAAGTCTCGTTTGCAGAGTTTCCTGCCACAACTACGGCAAGCAAATGCGGAACTCGACAACGGTGGAGGAGTGGTTGACAGAAGAATTGACCACGTATCAGACGAGGAGGAGCATTACATCGAGATGGAAGTGGGTCTCGGCGTGCTGTCTGAGGAGAAGAGCGATGCCACCCAAATACGGCTTCCTCGTTCACCTTCTGGTGAGAACGAACTAGACCAAGACGAGATCAAAGATGGACCAGAGGACTCACAAACCGGCGTGTCGCGATTGTTGGGCACCAATGGGACAAAAGGGACGAAGCGGAAAATCGAAGAGCTATGATAACGGGCTGCATTTTTGTGTTGAGATAGAGTTTGGGCGGTGTTGGGGTATGGCGTTTGGCGTACAGGGCGAGAGAGTTCTGGGGAGCAGGTAGAGTATCTCTAATGCCTATTAATCACCCTTTAATCCTTGTACGAGGTGTTCAGTACGAGGTACTTAAAGGCATCCCGCTAAGTTGTGGGGGGCGCAGGGTCCAAGGTGCAGGCGTGCAACCAAAACTCCCCGGGCGCGGCAACGTCATTGTTTGGATCTAACCTGAAACTGTCATCCAAACCCACGCGGGTCTGATCCAACCAGCAACCCCCCCCCCCCCCCGATCACCACAGCAAACCTAGCCCCCCCCATTAGCTCACCGTTATTTCATGTATGTTTCCCTCCACTGCAGATATCGCGCTGTCATCAAAGAGTGCATTCTTCTTCTCGACCGGACTTCGACAATGGTGCCGCCCTCACGCACATATCCCCATGACGCACGATCAAAAACACCCACACACTCGACCGCCTCGAGTCCCTCTCTCAGGTCCAAGACGCCTGTGAGTGTCCCCTTGACACCGACAAACAGCACCATGAATCCCGGTGGCAATGTCAAGGTCGTCGTCAGAGTCAGGGCGTTTCTTCCCCGCGGTAAGGAAACTATGATCTCTCAGTCAGCTGCTGCTAATCACCGTACGGTAGAAATTGACAGAGGCGCAAGATGCCTGATTGAGATGAACCCTCGCACGCAGTCGACGAAGCTGCTAGTACCGCCGTCGTCTGACCCTGCAAATGCACGAGCACAGACGAGAAAGGTCGTGGAGGAGAAGTTGTTTACGTTTGACAATTCTTTCTGGTCGCACAATACGCGGGACGATCACTATGCCACACAAGAGGACGTCTACAATTGCTTGGGAGAGGAGTTTCTGGACCACAACTTTGAAGGCTACCACACGTGCATCTTTGCGTACGGCCAGACGGGCTCGGGCAAGAGTTATACCATGATGGGCACCCCAGAGCAGCCCGGCTTGATCCCGCGAACCTGTGAAGACTTGTTCCAACGCATCGAGTCCAACGAGAGCGCCAACATCAGCTACAGTGTTCGAGTGTCATACTTTGAAGTCTACAATGAGCACGTACGGGATTTGTTCCAGCCCCGGACCGAACCGCCGCAATACCTCAAAATCCGCGAATCTCCGACCGAAGGGCCTTATGTCAAGGATTTGACGGAAATCCAGGTCAAGAATTACGGCGAGATTCTCAAGTACATGCGAATGGGCGACAGCTCCCGGACCACTGCTTCGACCAAAATGAATGACACGTCTTCCCGGTCACATGCCGTCTTCACCATCATGCTCAAACAAATCCACCACGACTACCGTACAGACGAGACCACCGAAAGATTGGCTCGAATAAGACTGGTGGATTTGGCCGGGTCGGAGCGTGCCAAAGCCACCGAGGCCACAGGGCAGAGGCTCCGAGAAGGTGGAAACATCAACAAGTCACTGACTACCTTAGGCAGAGTGATTGCGGCACTCGCCGATCCCAAACATGGTCGAACACAGCACGCAAAACGGGGCAATCGCGACATTGTGCCGTACCGTGACTCGATTCTGACTTGGTTGCTGAAGGATTCGCTGGGAGGAAATTCAAAGACTGCCATGATTGCTTGCATAGCCCCGTCAGACTACGACGAGACCCTGTCAACTCTCCGATATGCTGACCAGGCCAAACATATCCGCACCAAGGCTATTATCAACCAAGACCATGTCTCGTCGGCTGAGAAAGACGCCCAGATCAACGAAATGCAGGAGACAATCCGCGCGCTGAGATGGACGCTGAGCCAGCAACAACAAAATGGTAGTGCCTCTGTGATGAAGGCCGTGCAAGAGACCGCCGAGGCTCAGTCGGAGAAGATTCGTGAATTTACGACCAAGTACGAAAACATGCTGCAGATCATGGAAGAGAAGCTGGCGATTTCAGAGTCCAAGGTGCGACAGCTGGAGGAAGAGAAGGAGGCCTTGAGCATTCACTTGAAGCTCGTGCTGGACGAGCTCAAGAACCCGATCGTCATCAACAAGGAGGAAACCGAAACTGAATCGGTCTACGAGAGGTCTAGGGCGCCGACGCCAGACATGATCTATGAAGATGACACGGCTTCTAGCGACGAGGTGGACACGGAGTCCGAGGTAGACGACGACGCCGCCGAGATGCAGGCCGAGATGGAAGCGCTGATCTCGGACTTGGGGATGTTCAAGAAGAAGATTGCGGCGGACCACGAGATGTTTGGCATTGACGTCGCCGCCTGAGTGGGGAGAAGTTGGACGAAAGTGGATGGTTTGGGTTTGTTGGTTAGCGAGGCGTTTGTTGGTCTTTGGAACAGCCCTATCGGCGAGCCATGGTTTGCGAGAACGCGAGAACTTGGTGCAGAATGCGACAATGGAAACTCGTACGCTTGGTTGTGAGTTTACGAATAGAGAAAATTTACCTTGCTCAGTGGTGAACCGCGCGATCTGTTAGCTCCGGCTGTCTTGTACATCAATGACTCGTCGAACTCACTCACTCACTCACTCACTCACTCATATATATATACTAAGTCACATCTCGATCGTATCTGCCATACGCGTCAACGAAGCGCGCCACCTCCCTCAGATCTGCCACCCACCAAACGACCACTTTCTTATTGTCTCCTCCTCCTCCCTCGGCTCTCACTTGTCGACCCGACTCGCGACGAAACCTGACCCACTCGCCTAAATCGAGCCTCAGCACCTCGACGCCGACTCTCTCCAGCGTCTCTTGCAGTTCGCGCTGGCCACTACCCAAGGGCTCGTCGCGGACACAGACGCCCACGTCGGCGGAGACGAGGCAGTCGAAGTCGGTGGGCGAGTCGCCGACGTAGATGACTATGTCACCTTGACTTTCCCCTTGGCTTTCGCCTCGGCTTTCGCGGTCTTCATTCCGGTGCAGGCGTTGGAGATGCTGCAGTGCGGCAAGTTTGTCACCGCTGGTGTGGATTCCGGCACCACCAGCAGGTGTCACTGTCATTGAGTAGTCATTGTCCCGGGGTGAGCAGGGGAGGAGGTTGTTGGCGAGTATGGGCAGCGAGTTTACTACCGTGGCTTGGGTCTGTGATGAGGGTTCGTGCTTGAGGTCTGCTGCCTCTGTGGGTGCTGTGGTAGTCGCTGCTGATAGACATGCTCTTATGAACGCGGCGCTCCAGTTGACGCTGATGATGGCGACGGATGGAGAACCTGCCACCGCCGGCACGGGCACACTCTCATCACACTCAACATGACTGCTGCCGCGACCTGCATCTGGACCTGGACTTGCAGCAGTAAGAACGTCCCACCACCCTTCCCTGAGCCGTACCTCGCCATTTCGAACCGCCCCCTCCGCCTCCCTCCAAACATCCCCTTCGGTGACATCGGCGAAGATCCCCGCGTCCACCACCCTCTGGACACTCCGCACCTCGACCCCCCTCAGACTAGCCAGCCAGGCACTCTCGAGGGGTATCGTGCGCCGGTCCTGGCTGGGGGGACGGTACGCATCCTGATGGCGCGTGTAGTCCGCCATGTAGGCCTGGACGATCTGGTCCCACGACGGGGGCGGTGGTACCCGGTGCTTGTTAGTTCTGTAGCCGATGGCCGCGACGACGTGGAGGGTGTCGCGTGTGGTGAGGGTGCCGTCCCAGTCGAAGACGATGCGGATTCGGGCCTTCGATGCCATCGTTTTCATGGTTCTCGACCCCGTCACAGTCGTGGAAAACGTGGATGGTGACAATGACGGTGGACTGGTGCGTAGCAGGTATCGCGTCAGATGGGTCGGGGAGACGCACATGCCATCCCCTCCTACTACCAAGTATCCTCTTTAGCGGGAGGTTTTTAAAGTGACGTTGTCTTGTTGTCCATATGCTTCGATTGCTCCCTGACCTTTTGTCCTCAAGGCTGGTGGATGGATGAATGGAATGAATGATGGATGAGGCTCGCTGTATGGAGCTTTGGCGACCAGTCTTGGCAAGGCAGATCGCCGTTGCACACTTCTACATGCCTTTATATCTTCGTGTCTTGTTTAGCCACGTCTATCCTGTAACGCGATGATTCAAGGAGCCAAAGTCTAGTACTGGGTTGCAGCACCACATTTATAGAGTTGAACCTGCGCGAAAATGTATGGATAGACTAAATATTTGTAAAAGACTCACAGAAGGACCCGAGACATCCACACACGGACATTATAGAAACCCCTCCAAACCCCCTTTTCACCATAGTCGCAGCCAGCCTATAACTTCGTGCGAAAACGCCCCTTGAACACCTACTGCGCCGAGCCGAGATGGTTGGTCTCTTTCTGCAAGCCAAAAAAAAAGGTATAGATATATATATCTGTATAGAGACAGAAAGTGAGGGCCCTGTTCATTTGAAAAAAGCGTCACTGCATACTCAGACACATGAGCTTGACAAACCACTGCTCCTCCGTGATCGACTCTGAACACATGTCCTTGAAATTCTGCAGCGCGACTGGGTCGATGACGACGGCGTCGTCCTTGTCGCTCCCACTTTTGTTCCCGCTGTCGTTGTCGTCGCTGTACCCACCGCCCTCGAGCACTCCGGGCCCGAATCCATGGGCACGCCCCAGATTCTTCTGCGTCAGGCTGGTCCCGTTCAGGATCCACCCTGTGTACTGCGGGAAGGCGCTTTTCGGCGGCGTCTGCGGGCCCAGGTCGCCCTGTCGCACGCCGCCGCTGATGCTGGTCGGGTGCTTGGTGCTGCCCTCGACGCAGTAGGGCGAGTCAATCACGTTGCCGTCGCGGTTCGAAAACGCCAGCTCGGCCACCCGGTTCCACAGCGCCGTGTCGTCCGCGATCATCTCGGGCGTGTACCAGATCCGGCAGTCGGCAGCCTCGTACGCGAAGTGGAGCGGGATGTTGTGCGGCTCGCCCATGCGGTAGGCGTTGAAGCCGTTGACGCGGAGGCCCGTCCCAAAGCGCTCGGCGGGGCCCAGGTTCCAGTCCTCGAACTGCGCGTCCGCCGACTTTGGGTTCGCCGTGATTTGTTCCGTGTAAGCTTCTACCAGATACGCCAGGAAGTCGTATGAAAAGAGCCGGCTGCCTCGGACGCCGCCGATCGTCTGCATGGGCCCGCTCTGTGGCCGCCCGCCGACGACGATGCTCATGACGCGGAACTCGTTCTTCAAGTGCTCGACGAAAATCGAGCATGCAGACGCACAGTACCTGCGACAGCGGTGTCAGTCAAATGGCTTGCCAGTGATAGGGCAACGGAGGAGAGGAAGTATCGGGAGGTTTGTTTCTCGCAAAGAGAAGCACGTGGGGAACTACTTACCCATCGGTCAAGATGATGATGTTTTCTGCCGCAAAAGGCCGCTCTGCCCGAGGATCGGCTTGAGTGATGTTCAGATCCGAATGGTCAATCATCGAGTATTCGTTGTTGGTATAGTTTTCCTGAAAGTACGAGGTGAAATACCCCGGACCCTCGCGATAAGGGCCGTAGAATTGGTCGGCGCTGTCAAACGGCTTGACACTCGGCGACATGACCGTCTGATAAGCCCACGGCGAGTTCCAGTACTCGGCGTAGATTTCTTCCTCGTCGAGACCCGTGTTGGGGTTGGCGTCCTGGGCAATGTCCGTCTGCTCGCTGAAGTAGTCGACGAGGGCTTTCTGCGCGCCGTTGGCTCTCAGGCTGGATTTGGTGTCGGGAGGCGTGTCGGGAAACAGCTGCACCATCGTCTCGAGGCACAAACGGACGGATCCACCGCCGTTCGTCCGCAGGTCGATGATGAGATGGTCTTTGCCGTTCTCTTTCGCCGACGCCAGGATTTCTTGCAGGATCTCCTGGGAGTTGACGTCTGAACCACCGTCGTCGTCGGGCGAAAAGCTGGTGATGGTCAGGACAGCAACATCATCCGGGAGATCGCCACCCCAGTAGCCCGTAAAGGCACCAGCGTCGTCGGATATCACAGAAGGTACGGGCGACTGACGCTTGACTTTTCGTTTCACCTGTGCAGACTCGCCAGAGTCGTCAGACTCGTCGCTGAGATCCACCGTCTGGAAAAACATGTTGTACATTGTTTCCCCGTCGACGATGTCCGAAAAATTATTGGGTCCCCAGTCAAAGTAGTTTTGGTACGCTCTGATGGAGCCGTTTTGAAACGTCAAGTTTGTGTCTGTTCCGGGGTAGAATTCTGGACTCCCGAAAAACCCGTAGGGATACAGCAGGCCGTTGTATAAAGCGTCTGGATCTTGGGACGTGCCGGTCAGTGATTCGGTCTGCAGAAATTCCTGGACGTCGAGACCATTGATCTTTGTGATGGCCGAGTAGTCCCCGCCAGTTCGGACCCGTAGCTGACCATCGTCGTCAAACTCGTATCGATCCCCAAAAAGATAGACCGATGGATATTCTATTCCATCTTCGGACAGGGACACCAAGTAAGTGATGGTGGGGAACCGGTGGAAAGTCAGTGCCCTCATTATTGGACCTTTGGTCATCAAGTGGTCGTCCTTTCCCAGCAGTGACATGGTATGCAGATCAACCTGCAGGTCATACTCGCTCGAGTACTCATTGTTCATGACCTTCTGTCCAATTTGATCCAGGGTGTCGAGGATGTCGACAGGTGGAAAAAGCCATCCGGTGGTCGGCGCCGCCAAGTAGTCGAGAGTACTTTGCATCTCGAGATAGCCTCGAAGGCCATTGATCAAGGCTGCCGCATCTCCTTGAACCACGGGCACCGAGTTTAGGCATTCATATGCCACCTCTGGGCTGAGTAGGTCCGGTGAGCCGTCACCTAAAAATTGCCTTTAGCAGCGAATCTGACGCGGATTGAGAGGGGTAATGTACCATAGTTGACAGCGTCGAATATGGCGGCAACATGTTCGCAAGGATGGCTATAGCCGGTTTCTGATCGGGCAACAGCGCCGAATGCTCGCCCCGCCCAGAAGATCTGAGTCGTGACCCATAACAGGAGAGACATTACATAAGAACAAGCTGGAGATTGTCGCATCTCAACAGGTACATTGGCTATCAATCTCTCTCACTCGACACTTGCTCTTTTTTTCTTCTATCCTGGACAGGATTCTTTGCGAGTAAAAAGGGCCCCCGGGTCAATAAATGAAAAGGGACTTACCTCGAGAGGAAAAAAACATCAAACACCAAGCAAAAAGTGTTAAGGCGGGATTTTTTGGTCTCCTGTCAGCCCAAGGCCTGGCCAGGGCAAAGATCCTGAAGGATGGGGCCAATACGCCCGACTCGTGCTCGCTTGAAATATGTAGTCATGCCGTAAATGAAAGCCAAGACGGTCCGCCTCGAGGTTAACTCAGCCGTAAATTGACGAGGGCCTAGCGAACAGGCTCCTTTCAGCGACCTCGGGGGCTCATTAAAGACATCGTATATTGACCGGCGCCCGCGCTGGGCATCGCCAGTCTAGACGCCCACTTGGGCGTTTTCATAATCGGCTGAAAATGTGGTGGCCTTCTGTCACGGGGGACGGGGAAGAGACGAGCTGAAACATTGTTCGTATTGAGCGCCAGTAGAGCGGAAGGCCGTCGCTTGCCAAGACCAGTGCCAAGACCAGGGCGGAGAACTTCCTCCACCCGTTTTAGAAATCTCGACCAAGCTCGAGTCAGCCCAGGGGCCACGAGAGATCAAGGTTACCTGCTGATTCCTTCGCAAAGTTGGTCTTGGCAGAGCGATAAAGACAACGGAGCTTATGGCTAAATTGACACTCGTATAGTTGAGCCATGGAAACGACTCAATCAATCATTTCTAGATGCCTAATTCCTCTGTATTCCACTGCCAGGTAGGTGGACGAAGTTCTGGTCGCACATCCGTCTGTGGAAAAGCCTATAGATAGGCACACGGTCAAGCTCATGTTCCGACCCTCACATTTATGTTCAAGCTGCAAACAGTGCCGCAAGCACCCCCGCCAAAAGCCCAGCTTCTGCAACCATTGACCTCATTGTGGGAGAAGCAGCGGAGGACACGGACGGCGATGTTGCCTGGGTCGCGGAAGAAGATGGCTGCGATAAAGACGGCGTAGGTGATGCTGAGCTCCCATTACCCTCCATGGTGTCAAAGGTAGGATCGTCTGCGTACTGAGCAGAAACACCCGACGAGTTGCTGCAGGCCGATTGCGGTGTCCCTGTCCCCGCGACAAAATTCACATGCATGCACTAAAGAATCAAGGACCATCAGATGAGATAATTCGCCATTCATCCAGTGCACAAACTCGCCATTCAAGACATTGTAAGAAGGAACTCCATACCTGGTAGTGCACACCGTCTTCCGCATCCTGGACGACTTGGAGCAACCCAGTCGATCCCACCCAGGAAGGCGGTACTGTGAGGGCGGGCTGGCAGAAACTATTCAGGCCGAACTCTTCAACAGTTGGAATCAGGACCGTCCAGTTCGGTGCCGATAGCGATGTGCCTAGCAAAGCACGGTAGGCGAAATATGACTGCGCATGAAGGCTTGTCAGACCGACGGCGTCGCCTCCGACGTGGAAATCTGTGATGTTGTCGGAGCTCGAGGGGCTGAAACCGCCACAGGGCGACTGGTCTTCATTGTTGATGTTGTTCCCAAGTGGTGGCGGCGTTAGAATGATGAAGTGAGAAGCACAAAGGGGCAGCAATATGATCGTGAGGAGTGAGGTAACTTTGAGGGTCCTCATGGCTGCCTTTTGACGAGGGGTTTTGATGAACGAGCACACTTCGAGCAGGTAAGAGGAAGTGAAAGAGAAAGAGACAGGGCAGACAACAAAGGGGAAATATGACTGCAGTTTTCGACAGCAGCCATGCCATCGAGACACATGGTGGCCTGCATTGCTATCCGAATAACCGTGGTGCTGGTCTCTTGTGGAAGGGTTGCTGTTTACGAAAACTTGCTCACTTCTCGGTCAACTTCCGGCTTGGTGCTAGCCTCGCAGACTAGCTTCGTTGACGACCACAGCGAATGCATTGATGATAGGCTCAACGACCCATGTGGCTTGCAGACAGACAAGGGAGCGTCGAGTCGTCGAGTTGACAAGCTTCGAGATGGAGTCGCGAGATGAGCTTGAGCAAGATAAGCATGTCGCCCATAAATGCTTCGCATCCTCTCGGGTGACTGCAACAGAGCAGTTTCTCTTCGACAGAAGTCAACCTCGATTGAAACCCTTTTGATTCTGGCAATATGCAGCATTTTGTCTCCTGTCTTGCGTTTGCGACCTTCGTTTCGCTGGTGTCTGCTCACACTCAAATCTGGTATCCCGAGTGGCGGGCAGACTCCTTTGACCTTCCCTTCTCGCAAAGGATATACCCTTGTATGTGAAGACTCAATCCTGTCAGCAGTCGATTTATACTTATCTCTCGACCCTCCAGGTGCTGGCATCTCTGACAATGCAACGACGCCTCGCACAGAGTGGCCCCTGACTGGGGGCTCTCTCAATGTCACTCTCCACGACGCCGCCGCCTACATCTTCATCAATCTCGGTTTTGGGGCCAACTCGTCCGACTTTAACGTCACGCTGTTCTCTGCCCCCCTCAACGAGACGGGACCCGGCAACCTCTGTTTCCCCAAGCTCACATTACCGCCTGGCCTTCCAATCCAGGAGGGGACGCAGGCGTCGATCCAGTTTGCCACTGCTGGCCATAATGGCGAAGGCCTGTACAATGTGGGTGGTGACCACGTTGGTTCCGTCCATCGACCTCTGCTGATTGTTTTCTGGCCAGTGTGCTGACATTACCTTTACCAACAATGCCACTTTGTTGCCCTCGGACCAGTGCCAGAACAGCTCAACCGTGAGCGTTACAACCCTTGGCTCTTGTCCAGTCTCGGCGACGAACTCTAGCTCTGAACCCAGCTCTACCTCGGCGTCGAGCTCATCGGCGGCGAGTATCTTTGCTCCTTCGGCATTGATGGTACTCTGGGCAAGTCTGTTTGTTGTCGTGTGGTAGCCCCTGACGCGAGCACACCTTCACAGTGGAGGGAATGGACGAGTAGTTGGAGATAGGCAGTATGACACAGACAGATGTGAAGGCGGTCCGAACAAACAGATGCACGCGCAGAGCAAGAGAGATGGCCACAGAGCAGATGAAGGGCTGTTGACCAGACATGTCGGGTAATCGGCGAGCATTGAGAATCGACAGAGATGATGAATATCTCGTGACACAGCTCTGAGTAGTGAAATTCCTTGCCACCATTATTGTTGCCTTTTCCCGGTCGACTCGAGTATCTTGCGGGAAGCCATAGCTTATGCGGTCAACAGCACCCGCATCTTATGACTGATCAAGCCACTCGTCGCGGCTGAGTACAAATCACCTCTTAGTCAAGACAACAATACTCGGTATACACAGTATTCCGGCCCCACTTTTGTGGAGTATAAAACCCCCCACGGCATAACCGAGGTTGAGTGGGGGTGATTGGCTTGCCGCGGGTACACTCGATACCATGTTCCCTTTTTTTCGGAGACGCATTGGCAGCAAGGACTGTAGGTAAGTAGTACACCAGTCAAACTATCATTGCTTTCCCCGTGCCATATCTTGCTAACACGCGTGCTCTCAATCGGAAGTGGTGTTCCTGACCCACTCCATGATCGAGAACGTTTGACCAAAAAAAAAATAACAAAAAATACTTGGTCGATCCTGCCAGGCGAAGAGCCTCACCGATTCTCCGCTGCATGGTTATAGAACACAGGTCATTGCTCTAACCAGTCCCTGCCACTCGCTTTCAAGTACTATAGACGAGCATGGGTCCCTCGAGTCAGACCTCAACCTCCAAGTCCTCAACCACCAGCGACTTCCGGTTCATCTCGACCAAGCCCGTCAAGAGACGAGCCACACAGGCTTGTATCCAATGCCGTCACCGCAAGGTCCGCTGTGACTACATCTTCCGCCGTCCGTCGTCTTGTACCAACTGTCGCCTGGACGGGAACGTCTGCGAGGTGCCAAAGAATAACCGTCGCAAGTGAGTGTGTCTCTTGCCTTTGGTGCCAGGATCTCTCAGCTTAAGCCCCAGTCTCAGATCCCATCTTCGCGATGGCTTCTCTCAAGTCACGACGGCCAACCTCCTGGCGCCGGAGGCCGCTGCGACGACACAATGGCATGAAGATCCGTCGCCGCCAGGCGGTCCGGAACCTGAGCTTCAAGATGCTGCCCCTGAGAGAGGTGTGATACCCTGAGTCAAAGGTCGCTCGCTACTCTTTCCCGCCCACTAATCGATCTTTGTAGACACAGTGAATGAGCTGATGCCGGAGCCCGAGATGGGCATCGAACAAAACAATGAATCCATGATGTGGAAAAGCCTGTCAGTCCCGCTGGACCCAACCTCTCAAAAAGACCAGCCTTGCGCGTCTGCAGACGCACCAAACATTGTCCTCCCGCCGTATCTTCGCCCGGTGCCCAGCCATATTGCCAACGAAGACCTTGTCTACCTCGAGAAAAAGAAAGCCTTTGAGATCCCCGCCACCATCCAACGCAACGAGCTGATTCGGTGTTACATCCAGTACGTGCACCCTCTTTTGCCCATCATCGACCTGCGCGATTTCCTGCGCGCCATCGACCAACATGAGCCCAGCGATCCCATCAGCCTGATGTTGCTCCAGGCGGTCATGTTTGCGGGCACCACGTTCATCGACATGACCTACGTCACGGGCTACGAAGACCGACACGCGTACCAAAAGGCGTATTTCCAAAAGGTCAAGACGCTGTACGACCTCGACTACGAGGAGGACCGCGTCACCATGGTTCAGTGTGTCCTCCTGATGACGAACTGGTACGAGAGACCCAGCTACCACAAGGACATATGGCACTGGGTCGGGATTGCCGTGGCCGACGCCAGATCCATCGGGCTCAACTATGAGCCCCAAGCCGGCGCCGGCACCGTCCAGGAGAAGCGCCTCTGGAAGCGGATCTGGTGGAGCTGCTACACGCGCGACCGGCTGGTCTCGACCGGGATGCGGAGGACGATGAGGATCCGCGAAGAAGAGTGCCAGCTCTCGATGCTCGACCTGGCCGACTTTGAAGCGTGCACCTCCCTTTCCGACTTTGAACACATGATCGGGACCGCGTGCGCCGTCGGCGAGGGAGCCACCCACGCGAACCTGGTGCGGCTGTACATCGCGCTGATTGAGCTCTGCAAGATCATCGCCGATGTTTTGACATTGCAGTACGAGGAGCCGTCGCAGAAGATCAAGGGCACTCGCGAAGCCACGTCGAAGCTGATCCCCAAGCCGCGGGCCAGTGCGTTGGAGGTGGAAATGCGCGATCGAGACCTTGAGGCGTGGTACGCAGGGCTACCCGTGGAGATACGGTATTCATTCCTGGAGACACCCGAAGACAGGAAACCCGTCAGCGACCGTCTCGTCTACCTGCACAGCACCGTGGTGGCCAGTGTGTATTTGGGCATCTCCAGCGCGCTGTACCGACCGCAATGTTGGACGCCCGTCACGGAGCACCCGACAGAGATGCGCAAAAAGGCCATGGTCAAGGTCTACGACGCCGCGTGCAAGGTGGCGCAGCTGTACCGAGACGTCGTCGCCCGCAACATGATCGACAGCGTGCCCAACACGAGCGTCGCCGTCCTGCTGCCCGCCTGCGTCGTCCTCCACGCCGATGCCAGCCGCATCACCTCGCCGACGCGGAACCGGTCCCGCCACCTCCTCGAGGAGTGCATCCAGGTCCTCCAGCATCTCAGTCGCACCTTCGCCTCGGCCCGCTTCGCCCTCTGGCTGGCCTCGCAAATGATGCAGAAGATAAATCTGTCCACCCAAATCTCGACAAGTCAGCCCGAACCTCATCCCTCTGACCCGAACGCAGATCAGTCCACGGTGCACCCAGCGCCGCCACAGGACCCGCCACCCGCGACTGCTTGTCACCCGCTGATGGGACCTCCGTTGAGCTTCGAACCCAGCCTCCCACAAGAAGCACCGAATCTCGTCCCAGCGGAGATGATACCAGATGGCGCTCACTTGCCGGTGCTAGAAGAGCAAGGGGAGGACATTGACCAGAGTGATGACTTCTTGCTGAATGGCACATTCTCGCTTCAGGAGATCGAGAACCACATGAACCGTGCGTGGTGGGACCCTATGGTGAATTTTTAAGCCACCGATTTCCTGGCCGGACGGGGAAGCGGCTGTTGGATATGAAGTAGAGAGAGAGAGGCACGGATGGATCGGGCTGATACACGGACTTGATGACCTTTACGTGGACAAACAGTAGAGAAAAGATGGGAAAGATGAAAGGTGGGATTCGGTTGCAACAAAAGCAGGTTAAATCATCCAGGCGATAGAAAGGCACCACATAATTTCGTCTACATACCATGTTTGTTGTATTCTGTCATCTTGTATTTCGGACATCGACAGTGCTCCGTCCCGACGGTTTATTCAGGGTCGAAAATACCCTCAATCCCAAAGAATGGGTCCTGGCCTCCAAATTCAAGTGCCGATCCAAACAGGTCCCACGGGCTCAGGGTACCGTTGATGATCGGCGCTTGATCAGGCATAACTCCATCCATAAAGCTGGGTGTGTCAAGCGGAGCACCATTCGTGTATTGTGGGCGGTTGAGGCCTGTGGGACGGCTTGGCGACGTAGCATTCTCCTTACTAGTCGCTGGCGCAGACGAGGCTCTGACTGCTTGAACAGCTGGCACAATAAGCCTCGCTATGTCGTTGGCAGCCTCGTTGACTTGTCCAAGTTCAGGTAGAATGGTCAGACAAGTGTCCAAGTGCTTCAAGGCTGCTTCGCGTATAGGCCCTTCGGTTGACCTGGCGTCTAGGAGATGGACAAACACAGCGGTACAAATCGTAGCCACGCAGGTCGGCGGGAGTGAACCAGTCAGCTGTTGCTCGTGCAAAGTCTCGTGAATGGTGGTGATCTCGTGGGCAGCTTGCCTGATCGACCTGGTATGTCCCTGGGCATCCAGGGCCTCGATATCGTCGAACCAATCGTCCCCGATCTGTGAGGACTTTGGCCAGTTGGTTGCTGACGCCTCACTCCTGTGTAGCATTACCACGGCCATGAGCTGTGTCAGAAGTAATGTCGACATGGTCATCTGCAACGACCTATCTGCACCTTCGAACAAATTCAAAGCCGCATCATAAGATGTCAGTTCCATGGGGAGCTGAAGACGCCAATCTTTGAGCTCTGACTCGAGCTGCCAAATTCTTGCGTTCCGGCTCTTTTGGCCGCTCGCGACATCGTCATTGGAAGAGGAAAGTTTGAGAATTTGGTAAATAACCAATGCGAGCTTTGCTTTCTCGATGTATGCCATCTCGAGTCGCCGTTGTATCCACGGATCTCTCCGAAGCTTTCCAGTTTCCGGCAGATGTGAATAGTGACTGAGAGAAGCAGTGTTCCCGAATATATCGTGTTGCGGTAGGGGGCTGCGGTAGAGTGATATTCGCGGCGGCCTTCCCAGTGTCAGGCAGATGTCGCACTCTCTTAGAATTAGAGTCCACCAGATCCTCTGGCGCAATACTTGGTCCTTTTTGGGAAGATTCGTATTGCTTCCAGGCTTGTCAATCCTCAGAGTACATGCCTCACTGATCGCAACGCCCATCCAATAAAACGGATCCCTCGAGTGCTCATAGCTAGCCCAGCTACTTAGGAGGATGGATGCCTGGCATGTCACCAGACGGTCCGTCTCGACGTCCATATCAAATAAGACCTAAATGCAGCATCAGGTTCCACTGTCAGAATGGGGCTTATTGTGAGATGCGAACCTTGGCTCTGGTGTAACACTGTTTTCTCGCAGCAACTTTAGACTCAAAACCGTGGCTAAGGATTGTCTGTACATCCACAGCGGCTAAGCCAGCACACATAACTGCATGATATAGAAGTGGAGATATCTTCTTCTCCACATCCGAAAAAAGAGCGGCAACAAATTCTTCGAGGTCAATGACCGGGACCAATGGATGAATGAACTCTGCGTATCGACGCATGATGGTTTTGCATAAATCTGCGGACAGAAACGTGAAGCATCCACGTGCTTGTAAGTATCGCAAATCGTCCTGGTCTAGATGTGATGGAAGAAATTTGATAAATCGAGGAAGACGGGACCTTGGAAGAGTTTCGGCTGTGTCAGTGGCATGATTGGGGGAAGCGGTTGGCGAGGTCTGAGCAGCATATTCGAGCTCGACAGACATTCCACTTGATAAAACTGTTCCGTGGACACTATCTAGAGACTTTCTCTCGTCGTCCCCAAATATGTCATGGTAGACGCCTGTAGAAATCTGACCTGCATTTGGATCTATCGGAGCAAGACTTATCGGTGCCGTCAGAGGCATGCTGGATGTGCTATATACAACTCTATTCTCAGGTTAGCCAGGAATTCTAATCTATGGAAAGCATGATACATTACCTGCGGCGATTGTTCTGTGGCAACTCGCAGACTATGCCATCTAGTCGACAGTTTGTACATGATCCAGGTGACTTCAACACATAGTCGCAACGGACTTTTCGCTTCCGGCACTGAGTACATGCTTGGGAGGCTCTCTTTTTCACAGGCCTGGTTCGGACAAATCGGCCATCTGCAGGAGCCTTGTTGTTAGAGGCCATCGAGTGGGACAATATAGAAAGGCCGATAGATGAGCGGGAAATTTCCGACAGATGCTCAAAGTCGCGTTCGGCTGTCGTAAAGAAAAGAGGAGCTATAATTGATGGCGATAGTGACCGTCAGAGGTGGACAGCAGAAGGTGACGAGTGTACCTAGGCATTTATCGAACCATTAGCCCTGCCCAGAATTGGTAAGTCATGGTCTCGGCGCAAATGATGTTGTTTCGCTGCAGAGAGCGAATCCCTTCCCCGTCGTGGGGAACCTGCCCGTGGGCAACCCCCTCTTGCTCGGTCTGGGGGACGAGAAGGGTATGCTACCGCGGTTAACTGCCTCGGGATCGACGCGCACGTCATTTCAAAGAACACCAAGCAGAGTTCAAATTCCATTCCGAAATAATCAGCAGGAGAACAAGCCTTGCGGGAGCCTTGTGAAGGGCAAATGGCCCCAAGTGCTGCCCTTCCGATGTGAGGGCTAGGTTGCGCATATCAGGTTATGGACGAGCAAAGAGCGAAGAGCTTCTCGAGTTTTTGCTTGAATAGACGGCATGAGGCGAGATTGAGAAACCTTTGGGAGCAGGGAATCTAGTTGTTCAATCTAGTCTTTCTCTGGAGTTCGTTTAATCGGCGGAGGATTTCCTTTTCCTGCTCTAGACAATGAGGTTAATCGGCTTGCGCAGCCTTACGCGAGGTTGAGGCTGTAACTGCGTCCTTGGCTGCAGCTGAACTTGATTGGCCGGGACCGATATGAAGGACTGATCTCCATGTCCGAAGAGGTAGCATCTGTAACACCGGTGGTTCAGTCATCTCATACAAGGCAGCTCGCTCTCAACATCATCATCAGTATCAGAAGAATTGTGCAGAAGGAACGATATCGTCGGTGAAGTCTGTCATAGTTGGTTGGATTTGGTACTCCTGGTTTGGAACTCACGTGGCAGGAGTAGCGAAGGGGGTGGAGTCGCATTTTGTGCGCCCCAATTGCACCCACTGCGCAGACCAGAATGACTCAGTTGCACCACCATCACCATCCATAATAACGTTTGTTCTCCTCTCCCTGCTGAATGTTATTCTTTGGGCACTTCCAGGGACCAGTCTCTAAATCCGTCCGAGAGTCTGTAGCCCCGTAGCCTTTCGGCAATGGTTGATTCAAAGTCAGCTGCACCCAGCGCGGCCACCAGTCTAAATCCAGAGGCAGCCTCTTTTACCATGCCCGCCAACAATGGAGAGACCACTCTCAATGGTACCACCCAAAGTATTCAGCCGGCGGCGGCGATGAATGGGAATGACCAGACGAAAGATTCCAAAAAATCCAAGCCGCGGCCCGAGAGTGCACCTCGAACTACCACAGAACAAAACGTGGCCGAAGCAGGAGCAGGAGCAAAATTGACTGGCGCGCAGTTGAAAAAACAGAAGGCGTCTGAAAAGGCGGCAAGAAGGGCTGAAAAGGTTGCTGAAAAGGGAGCACAAGCCGTAGCCCAGGCACAAGGGCAGACCGCAGCGTCAGGAGCAAAATCAGAAACGCAAAGACGACCATCAACAACGAAGAGAGAAAGTGACACAGGTCCACATCATAAACGGACACCCTCAGGCAAGGCTTTACCTATCCGCGGTGCGATCCAACAACAGCAACAACCGCCTCATGGCTCCGCGGTTCCGGAGAAAGAGAAGCGTCAGGACCTCAAACGCGTATCAATGTTCTCTCACCTGTACCCAAAGGAAAAGAAAGCCACGTTGTCCGGAGCTGGTCGAGAAATACATCCCGCTGTGATATCGCTAGGATTACAGCTCCGCGACTTTGTGATCTGCGGCGGCAATGCACGTTGTGTAGCGACTCTTCTTGCTTTCAAAAAGGTTATCCAAACATATACCACTCCTGCAGGTGTGGCGCTCTCTCGACATCTACTCACCCATCTCAATCACCAGATTGCATATCTACGCAATGCGCGTCCATTGAGCATGAGCCAGGGGAACAGCATTCGATGGCTGAAGAACTTGATCTCCACGCAACCGGTTGAGGCCACCGATAGCGAAGCGAAACAAAGTATATGTCGTGCCATCGACTTGTTCATCCGCGAGAGGATCACGCTAGCAGATGAGGTGATTGCGCGAGAAGCCAGTTCGCGGATTCAAGATGGAGACGTGATTTTGACATACGGGAAGAGCAGTATCGTTGAGAAAACACTCCTCACCGCGCATCAGCAGGGAAAGAACTTTCACATCATTGTCGTCGACTCGAGACCTATGTTCGAAGGCAAGAATCATGCCCAAAGCCTCATACGTGCGGGTCTCCAGGTCCACTATACTCTCCTATCTGGCCTAGCAGATGTGCTTGATAACCGATCTCAATCTGTCACTAAATGCTTCCTGGGTGCCTCCGCGATGCTAGGCAACGGCAAGCTGCTCTCTCGCGCGGGTTCCGCCATCGTTGCTATGATGGCCAAGGAATCGACCAAGAATAAAAGCCGGAACGTCCCTGTTATTGTCTTGTGCGAGACTGTCAAATTTACAGCGAAGGCTGCGCTCGACAGTATCATTATGAATGAACTGGGCGAGCCAGATGCTTTGGTGGAAAGTGCCGAAGCGGAGGTCCTGTCGTCAACCAAGCCAGCTACAGAGGCCAGTGTTGCAGGAAAAGGCGCCAACAAAAAGTCGAATCAGCAAAAGGACAAGAAGGATGAAGACGATGGGGATGAGAAGAGCGGCTCGTCGAATACTCGGGGGTTGGAGGATTGGAGGGATCAACCAAATCTGTTCCTACTGAATCTTATGTACGATGTAACACCGGCGGAATTTCTGGATCTTGTGGTGTGTGAACTGGGCAGTCTGCCGCCTCAGGCTGTGCCGGTGGTGAACGGTGTGCATGGGGACGACCAAACGCTGGCTTAATGGGTGCGGAGGAAGATTTCTTCTCCCTTTTCAGGGTTTCTGTGTGAATACGATGAAACACTTGGTAATGAGAGCATGACGGTCCTCAAAACTCAGACCAGCCCTGTCCTTCAAATGGCTCGGCAACGGATGAATGTGATGTCTCTAGTATCAAGAATCCAGCAATGCATCCAAGCCCAAACTTGGCGATTGGTAGCTTCATAAACAGCTCGATCCAACGACGGGAGTTACGGCAACAATCACCAATAGGAAAGGTCATGACAATGGACGGCAAAGAGGGGGCGGTTGGCAGAGAATTGACATACACGAGTCTGTTTTCCACCGTCTAGCGCACCCTACTACTACATACGGTATGTATGTAGCCTTGTCTTTCCGCAGAATCCCACAGCAAAAAAGAAAGCCATAGTCATGACTCCGTTGAGGGGCACACAAAAAAACCACTTGTCGTCGCCTTTTCTTTTTTATCGGTCCAGCTAGAAGATTCTCGTCCATCGCGCACTCTTGTGAGGATGTGGCCGTCGTTCCAGCATGTTCATCACCCCTGACTCCTGCTCTCTAACCACCCACTGTGCTCTCCCACCATGTTGCAAGTATTCACCGAACCCCGTTCCGTTCGTTGAGGTCCGTCATATTGATTGATTTCAATCCAGTCAATAAATTCCGCTGTCGTTGACGAAGGATTTACCGGTGCTATTCGTGGAGAGTTTCACCCATGTCAGCCAAACATTCTGGAGGATTCGTTGTCGCAGAACGACTCGTAGTAGTCCTCCGCATGTTTGTAACATACCTTGATGAAACCGATATCCTGGCTCTTTTCCCGGAAGCATTGACGGCAGATGTTGAGGCCGTATTTGCGGATCAGACCGGCTTTGTGGGTGCAGACGCGGCTGTGGAACACGGAAAAGTCAGCACATCACCTTCTCTCGTGTATAGTAGTTCTCTTTACAGCTCCTCGAGCGGGGTTATTGGTCGCATTGAGCTGGGAGGGCATCGTTTGTAAACTGGGCTCCTCCTCGTTTGGCATTCCAACATCCTCCGAGGATAATATCATTGATTTAACCGCAAAAGGGCACATCGACTCCAGCCCCCAAATCCACCTCTTCTCAAAAGGCACCGAACCGCACACATCTTCTTGTTGGGGATGTAGAATGAGTGGAAGACACGTACCAGCCGCGAGCACCCTTGCCGAAGGTTCGGGGTCGGGAGTACCAGACGCTTTCGTGAGACATGGTTGCGGTTTTCTTTTCGTGGAGCGTCGAAGAAGGGACTGTTTCGTCGGGGCTTCTGGACGAGAAAATTGTCAGGACTTCTCTCGCAGGTGCACAGAGCTCGAGGCAGGGGTGATCAATCTAATCGACCGTGCGATGATCGTAGTGCCTGAATAAATTTCGAGTGCAGGGAGACTTACCGTTCAAGCTGGCTGCAACTGGTGGTTTGGCGTATTGCAAGTACCCTGCGAAGGTGGAAGTTGTAAAGTTCTCGATCGCAATTCAGAATGTGGGTTCCACAACGCCAAGATAATCTGGGTCACGTGAAATGAAATGTCGAGGTCCATGTTGATTGGTCAATGGATAGCATTGCTTCTTGCCCGAGACTAGATATCGACAGGCCATCCCAAAGCCATTCAAGGTATGTCTTTGATCCCATTGTGCCGGCTAATACCAACATCTTCTTGTCTGTTGGAGCAGCTACCAGGCATTGTTGAGCTAACAACCGTGGCTGGAAAGTGAGCCCCTCCAAGAGAACATACAAGTATGCCAGTCAATCTTGACGCTATTGCACCTCCGCACTGACTGCAGCATTTCCCTGTGCGATTCGTCCTGATTTAGCGACCAAAATGGGTGGTACCTCTTCATTGGCCCTGTTTCTCCAGCGTGGATGACTCTCTACATGACAGCTCGGCATTAATTAGGACCTATGGAGAGACATGCTCGTCTCAAGTCAACCGACGTCCATCACATACGCCGAGTAATACACGTTCAAGATCTTTGAACTTCAAAACCAAAACGGCCGTAGCCCTATAAATCCGCTACATCAGCGCAATTATCATGCCAGGCCTCAGAGTCGCGTTCACGGGTGGTTCAGGCAAAGTAGGTCGGCATGTAATCAAAGAGCTCCTTCGGTATGGCCACCAAGTCATCAACCTTGATCTCGTCGACCTTGCATCTTTGTCCAAGGACTTCCCCGAGCTGCAAGATGTCCACACCACAAAATGCGACCTCACCGACAGCGGCCAGGTATTTAGCAGTCTCGTCACGCACATGAAACTGGGCGAGCCGTTCCCCGCAGAAGCACCTCGACCTCCTGACGCGGTGATCCACTTTGCTGGGATCAATAAGCCGATGATTGTCTCTGACGGGGAGACATTTCGGATAAATACTATGGGCACCCACAATATGGTCGAAGCGGCTTGTAAGCTGGGGATCAAGAAGATCATCATTGCGAGCAGTATCGCCGTCTATGGCGTGTCATTCGGCCAAGGTAATTTGGAGTATGCTTCATTTCCCGTCACAGAGGAGGCGGACTGCAATCCAACCGACCCCTATGCGCTGTCGAAATTGTGCGGCGAACGGATTGCGAGGGGCTACGCTACGAAATTTGGCACGGATATCTACTGCCTGAGAATAGGGAGGGTGTTTGAACCGGATGGATACGATAGCGATATGTTCGAGGGCTACGTCCAGGAGCCGGAGAAGTGGTTTCAACATGGCTGGTCCTATACTGATGCGAGAGATCTGGGCCAAATGTGCCACCGCGGGCTTGTGACGTCCGGTCTCGGCTTTCAGATCTTCAACGCCGTCAACGACACCATCACCAACTTCACCGACGATGCAGGCCGACTCCTGAAGCGTTGGTATCCGCACGTTCCGCATACGAGAGTGGTGGCGGGGAAAGAAGCCCCCATTACCAACGAGAAACTTCGGCGACTGTTGGGCTTTGAAGAGGAATATGATTGGAGAGGGTAGCTTTGAGTAGAGCAGGCAGGCTTGCTGCTGGTCTTGGGTCGCTTGCATGGTCTCGTCCGGGGATTCGCTGGGGATTGTCCTTGAAGAGCAGCGGTCACAGAGCAAGCAATTTACTCTCGCACATCAACTGAGCATCATTTCCCAGTCTAGTTGTTTTTCCCCGCTCCAAATTGTAGTCCTTGTTCCACCCGAGAAATTGACAGAACTCAGGAGTCACACTGTTGCTTAGCGATGGACTATTCATACAAGTAGTCAACTATCAAAACATCAGAGTAGGAATCTACCAGTCTTGCAAAAAGCATAGCGCCACTCTACCAAACGGGGATAGAGATGTAGCAATGTCAATGTCAAATGTCAAATGTCATTAAATGGCTATCCAACAGACTTCAACCGCCCACCAAAAAAAATTCAACGCCGCCATGCATGTTCATAAACCAATCCCGCCCGCCCGTGCGTTGGTACAAGTATATCTCCAAATCCAATGCAGATGAATGATGGTGTACAATTACATGGGTTCCCTGAGTAGGGAGGTTCCGAGTTGGGCGAGAGATCGGGGTGTTGTATTACCCCTACAAGCCCCTGGCACAGCCGTCGGCGATGTGGATGTGCAGGGGACCCCTACACGTGTAGTTCCTCGGGAAGGCGTCTGCAATCCACCAGATCTGCCAGCTGTGAATGGCGGCGAGGGCGCCCGCATTGTCCTCGCACGCGTAGAAGAAGTTGCGGCCGTGGTTCTGCAGCGCGCCGTTCCAGTTGAAGCTGAACTCGTTGGTGCGGACGCCCGCGGGCGGCGAGCCGTGCGGCGTGCTGAAGCCCACGGGCCGCGACTGTCGCGGCACCACGTACATCTGCTGCCAGCCGGTCGGGCTGGCGTGGATGGACTGGAAGGTGAGGGTGTCGACGCCGTTCCGGCCGCCAGAGACGATCAGCGGTTCCGAATAGGACTGGTACTTGATCTGGCCGATGTAGGCGGAGCTGTTGGCGTAGAACAGGCTGTAGGACTGGAGGTCGTTCATGTTGAAGCGACCACCCCCGATGGCGAGGTCATAGACCGCCGCGTCGCGGGGCTCAATGTCGCTAGTTTCGGAGGTTTCGATGGGCGCGGCCATCGCGAGGCCGAGAAGGGTGGCTGCCGCGGCGAGAACGATGGTTGGTTTCATTGCGAACGATTGGCGAGAGTTGTTAACGAGGTGGTCACTGGAGGTATTCTCAGTGTAGAGCTGGACTGTGTGGGTAAATCTTGTGGAATGTATTGTGTATGGGTAGAGCATGGACATGGTGTCTGGGCACAACACAACTTTATATGCAAGTACGATAAAACAAGCTGCGTGATATGCATAGGCTGATCTGCTGACAAGCACTGACCTGACCTTTTTCAGCATGTGAGCTAGAGAATGGGAGATCTAAAACATGGGGAATCAGAGTCTTGGGATTTAACCAGAGGATCCTTGAAGCAGGGTTTGCCCTAGGCGAAGTATTCCCGCTTTGGCGAGAAGTGACTTGTCCGACATCGTGCAATGACCTCTCACAGCGCAGCAAGTACTTGAAAAGGTACTTGTTAGACGGGTAAGGCGATGATGGTATGAGGTGTTGGAGAAGAGCCGTGGCTGAGCACTGTTCGATCATACCGGCATAACACCACACAGCCTTGTCTCAAGATCAAGTGCTTTTTGGGGCGAGTATTGCGGGTGGAATTTCTCCAAGTCATCATGGCCATTCAGAGTAACCATATTCCAAAGGTGTAGAATGGGAGATGGTAAGAAAGAAAATGGAATTCATACTCCGGATCGACAGGAGCTTTTTCTTGGACTGAAAATCTCTCAAAGCAACCAATTCGGAGGTGAGTAAGTCGTGATGAGGCACAAGCCGCGAGGAAGCTGGCGGAAGCTGTGGACCGAACTGCGGGGATCACTAGTCTGTTTTAGGGAGGCTAGTCTGTTATAGGAAAGGTGTAATATCGCAAAGCACAAAAGTCGCGCCATAATCGAACCACTTCCTCTCCATCCTCCAATAAGACGCCCCCATTTCTTTTTTCTTGACAGCATACCAAGGATCGTACGTGGTGCCACTGTCTATGTACACGTTAACTTGTACAAGTAATGGGTGCATTGCCCCTTCACAGCACCCGAAATCATGTCCTTGGGCTGTTGTCTCGGGGTCATGTCCTCCAGCCACCCGCACTGGTGTCCTGCGTTGATTTGTACTTGGCTTACACTTGGCCTTTTACCACATTATCGTGAAGATCACGCGACCTACAAGTAGGGCATCTTTCCAACAACCTCAGAGCCGTGGACTTTTCTTCGCACGGTGCTTTTAATGGCCTAGATCGCACATGATCCCACTGCTTCTGCTCGTTTGCTAGTCAATATTCAACCGAGCTGCCCAACGTACACTGTTTACGCCAAAAGCACTTTACTTTTTAGTCTGCTGTTATTCCAGCCCAAGTCAACACACTTCCGAGAGACCACTGCTCAAATTTGCCAAATCATAGTCACAAAGGCCAAGTTTCGACTTCAAGATGGACACTACAGTCGATGTGAGATCAATTGGGAAGATGATCCATGCTGGATGCAAGCACCATCATTGTCGAAAGCACGCCGATGGTCGCGTGCCTGAATCTGCACAACTACCAACCATTACACCAAAGGTAGGAGAGGAATGGCCTCCAGAGTTCTTGCACTGTGGGACATGGCCACCTCCTCAGCAACCGTCTGAATCAGAGTCCGACATCAACATAGCCGTGAAGCCCAAAACCAAGGCACCCAAGCAGAAAGCACCTGTCAAGGTATATCCAGACAATATACCAGACATAGATGGGGACGGTAGCGACAGCGACTCCAACTCCGATGAAACAAGCGACGACGTGGCCGATACTCCTGCCGAGCCAGTGGCGGTGGATTCAACGGAGCTGTCGGACGCGATAGACACGTTGAAAGTCGCCACGGACGATGCCGCTAAATCCGGAGATCAAAACGGAAATGATAAGAGTACGTCACAGCTGTTGTTACCTCGAGTTTCTCTCACCGCTTACACATCAGTGTTACAGGGTTAACCAACGTCATCCATGCTCTAGTCAAAGCTCCATACTCGGTGCTCAAGCTCGTCGCCAGACACGGAAACGGCGATGGTAGCCCTCGGAGGGGCAACGACACCAGCAAATCCCCGCGGAAATCGCTTTTTGACCATGAGATCGTGGCCGAGAGCCAGGCCCGCGTGGAGATAGCCGACTATCTGGACAGCCTAATCGACCATGGCGACTACGA